TATATATTTAATAACAACGCACTGTCGCACTTATTTTTATCTCCACCGTATCCGCAAATTGTTGGTTTATAAATTATTGCAACAAAATATTCTGTCTTGTAATTAATTTAGATTATTTTGTATCGAATGTAATTGAGCAAATAGCAGAGACATGTTAATTTATAAAAGTACACGCTTCGCCAAGAGGTCAAACGATAACTTCTAAGGCGATCCTTTTTTGCTCGCTATTTATAACAAATCAGTTCGATATTTTAGTGGTATTTTCTTTAAAATTATTCTTAAGAAGGCACATAACATAACCCAAAATAAATGTACGTCTGTGGAAAAATTATAAAAATATACGATAAATAAGTACGAAAAACGTAATAAGCGATTGTTTGTTAAAAAATAAGGGCGGTTTTTCATAAAAAATGTTTCGATACTGCAGTCCCTAGGGAGGTTTTTACTACATACTAATTCTTTAATCGCTAGTTTGTAATCTCTTTTACCTGACAGGTAAAACCTTAAGTGTATGGAGGGCTTTAGTCATATATTAAGTTTATTTAGAATGGATTTATTTATATTGCACAGGCAACTAGGTCTGCTACATAAAAAAATAGTGTCACTAATACCACAGACTAATACCGTGTAGTGCATCGGAACACGGGACATAGGAAATCCCTTGTTAATTTTAAAAGGGTTAACTATTATCTCCCCAGATGATTTTAGGCAAAAATTGTCTTAGACTATTTTGGAGAGGCGTTAAAGTTGTACTACTTTTGTGTAGAATTTCGCTTCATTTGGAATAGTTATTTGGAAGTTATTTGCAAAAATCTACCTTCAAATTAGAAAAATTCGTAATTCGGAAAAAATTAGAAAAAAAAAATCGGCCCAGAGAAAGCTACAATTACAATACCAGCAAAAATGTGATTGCATGGGTCATTGCCAAATTCGATGTCACATTTTGTTTACAAAAATTTGAAGGTATTACATAAATCATAAACACTATTTTATAGATCTGTTGACTTAAAGCACCGTTTTGATGTTAAAAATATGAAAAATGTTAGTGTCCTTTTCAAAAGCGATAATCTCCAAAAAAAAAGAAAGCTATTGATATGAAGCAAAAAATAAATTATCGAGAAAAGATACATCTAGATGATAAAATAATTTTTAAATATCTTCCTTTGTTAACGATACTCCACAGGGTGTTTTAAAATTTCACCAAAATATCAACATTTTGTATTCTCTCGCATCATTGACAGGTAGCAACTTTCATTTTTAATTTAGAAAGATATACTAAAAAGTCAAATAATTTAGCTGCAAATTGCTTAAAAAATCATCAAAATCAGTCCACTAGAACACAATATACGATACTTTAAAACACATGAAAATTTTAAGGTGCCCGTTTTTCGTGCGGGTGAGTGTATTTCAATCATTGTTGATTGCTCCGTCCATACGATAATTGCTGCGGAGTTATTAGAGTTTTTTTTGTACTCTATTCTTTCGATTCAGAATCGAAGTTTAGTTTTATTTCTCTGATTATGTTTAGGTTTGCAGTATCGATCGTACGTATTCAATTCTATTTGCTCCGGTCTTATTATTAGTATACTTACTCATTTTCTATATAAACAACATTGGTAAAAAGAAGGCTTACAAGTTGTTTGTTATTGAATCGTTTAATTAGGTTAGAGCCGAAAAGGTTATTGGGTCAGTTTAACCGTATGTATTGTATAGGATGAGTAAAAAATATATTGCATTTGATTTGTGAAAAACGCATAAATATATTTTGTGGAGTATCTAAAGAACTGTATATTTTCGAAACGTTTTTTTAATTTAAATACAGTTCATACCAAATAAACTTTTAGTCACGTCATAAAGTTTGACCGGTACAGCGTTGCCCACTTTATATATTTTCTTTTAATGAAAATATTTTAGGAAACAAAAATAAATTAATTATAAATATATAAACAGTTATTATTTACATCACCAAAACTCACCTCCTTTTACTACTATTAAGTCTTGTGCACTTTGCACTAAAAGATGTTCTAAAAAGAACAATGTTCGACTGCAAGGTCTGCTAGTAAACGTTTTTAAGCTTAAAGTATTACAACAATATTTATTTAAACCAAAAACTCGTAATACAAAACTATAAAGTGTCAAAACGAATGACAATGTCAGGAAATAAATAAATAAATGCGGCAACTTGACATTTTTTACAGCAGAGCTACCACCTGAATCCCCAGCGCGAAATTTAAATTCCAGTTAGTCAGCACGGCGCGGCGCCGAATATGTCCATGGTTGGCAATAATGAATCGATTACGTAACTAAAAGTTTAATTGATATGAAATATAGAATTAGTCGCATCACCTGAAATAGACACCCTGTATATAGGTTTACATCTTGGTTTATTTATTATCGTAGGTATGCTACTGGTATAAAAGAAAAAGCGTGTCAAGACATTTTTAAAAAGCTGTTTTCCCGGTATTGGCACGTATTTAATAATTTTGCCATAGTTGTATTATTGAAATCAGAGAAATTGTTGTTGAAAAATGATGACAAATAGTCCTATTTACCAGAGTAACGGATGCCATTTTTTCTCGTTTAGTACAATTTGCAGTGTTGGTGTTGTGATTTCACCATATTTAACTTTATCATCATAACCAATACAAATCGAAAATAATTCATTTAACACAAAAAATGCACATTTACATATTTTGCAAACAAAATCTTTTTTTTTTGCAAATCAAAAGGTCAAATATTTATCTCACCAGATAATGTTATTCAAAAATTGTATTAGACTTTTTTGAAGAGGCGTTAAAGTTGTACTGTCGTCTAGAATTTCGTTTTATTTGGAATAGACATCTAAAAGTTATTTGCAAAAATCTACCTTCAAATTACTATAGTAAACGCCACGAATGTTTGGGAGTGATTCATCGGTCGCTACCATGTGAACTTATCTGTTCAAGGTCACATTAAACTTAATTCCAGTGCCGTGGTGTTTCAAGTTATATAATAATCAATATATAATCTGTTGTAATTTGTTGTTTTAACTGTCAAAGTCTTGTCAAAACATATATTTGGTTATAAATATAAAATGGAATGCCCCATTGGTCGCACTGCAAGCACACCAATGGATCAAACCAAACAAAAACGAATCAATCAAAGAAACGCGATATAGTATCGTCTTTGTCAATCACGCTAACATTTTAGAATAAGTAGGAGGAGCGCAGGCAGATGATTAGACCGGGCCTTTAAAAACCTACATCTGCGGTAAAAATTTACGTTTTTAATGTAAAAATGATAGCGCGCGTGTCGATTCTAACTTCATCAAGCGATAAATCACTCCCAAACATTCGTGGCGTTTACTATATAAATTTATAATACCTACGGCCCAGAGAAAGTTACAATTAAAATACCAGCAAAAATATGATTTTGTCATTGTCAAATTCGATGTCACATTTTTTTTGTTAAACGCATTCCCATAGATAAATGCAACAAGTTTAGATTGGAAAGCCCGTAAAAATTTTAGGTCGCGAAATTATTTTGGGTCGCGACCGTTATACGCGATCTGGCGCTGCTATAGCGGTCGCTAAGAACAACGGCAAACAAAAACAGAAAAATAGAAGATTATTTTCTTTTATCTATGAACAGAAATAATTTTCTTTTGTCAAAGTCAGAATCTTCAAAAATCATAAAAATCTTCAAAATCTAAACCGCTCTCATTAAAGAAATTCCGAAAAGTGTTTATAGCGTCCATTTTCAAAGTAATTATTGCTACTTTGTGAGTTTAATTCAAGTTTTATTTACTCCAACCGGTGATAATTGTGAAAAAGTGGCATTAAAAACTTAAAAACCTGTGCTGTGAACTGTGAACTGCAAAAACCATCGTGGATCGTGGCATAACGTCGGTTTCCAATGTTTCATAGGTATTTCATACATGCGTCCTTATATAAAATAAAATTTCTTGTATGCAACACACTGTATTTTATTTATAATATATAACGAAAATAATAATAAATTTGAATAAACAATATTTGGCGATATAATTCCGGAAAAAGCCGAACCGCTCCGAAATTTTCAAAAGTTTTGGATCGCGACCGTTGCATGAATAGCGCCAAATAGTGTTTACATTGTCCTTATGGGCACTTTCCAATCTAAACTTGTTTCATTTATCTATGCGCATTCCTGTGGTTTGAAAAATTCTCTAAAATGGGACATGCATATCGACGCTTTGTCGAAAAAATTAAGCTCTGCCTGTTTTGCATTAAGATCTGTTTCTAAAGAGCTTAACTTGTCAGTGGCTAGAACTGTTTCTTATGCACTTTTTGAGTCGCACCTCAGATATGCCTTTCCATTCTGGGGTACGTGTTGTGCGACCGCATTTTCCAGCTCCAGAAGAGAGCTGTTCGATATTCACTGGGACTAAACAGCAGAACTCATTGCCAGGACTTTTTTAAAAAATTAAAAATGTTAACTCTTCCTTCCTTATTTATATTTGAATCCATTTGCCTAATACACGTAAGCATGTATCAGCTTCTCAAGAAGGCCATCTCACACTTATCCACGCAGGAACGCGGAACAAGATCTTTATCTCCCTATCCCACGCTCAGAGTTAGTTAAAAGTTAAATATTATACAACTCGAAAAATGCACAATCACCTGCCATTTGAAATCAAATCCATAACATCATTTTCTTCATTTCGCAAAGCATTGAAATCTTATTTACTAGACAAGGCTTTCTACTCCGTAAATGACTTATATTTTGATAATCGAATAAGATCTTGTAAACACTGGTCTAATATTTGCTATTACTATATTTACTATAAATATAGTAAATATTTTTGAATCTTATTTTTATTTTTTTATTCTTTGACATTGTAAATGTTTATTTTAAACAATAAGACTGACAATGTAATTTGTATACTTGTTTGGTATTCTCTTTTGTTTGTTTACTTTACCTTTGTCTACAAATTGTAAAATTTTTTGACAATAAAGGTATTTATATTTATTTCTTTGTTTCAGCGGACGCAAACGTAGATCCCAATCCAGACTCCTGGAAGCGCTGTTCAACCAATCAGAGGAGGACCAGGGTGACCCCAGAGGCGGCCTACTCGAAGCTCTAGAGCCCAACGACTACGAAACCTTCCTCCTCAACTACAAATAGACTGCTCCAAGCGCTCCAAAAGACGACACACAAACGAGAAAACGATAGCTTACCAACTTAAGGCTCTAAGTAATAATTTGACGATTCCTTTCCAAGATTATTTATTGTTCAACAATATAAATTATTGCCTGTAACATAATATACAGTAGAATTACCAAAGAATCAGGAAGAATGTTCGGGCTAAATCAATGGATGAGCAATAATTTTGTTGTGTGTACATAGTCGAAACTTGGTAAATCAACTGTAAAAACTTGGCAACTACAGTTATTAGAGATATTACAAGTATAAAGTCATGTCAAAATTAAGTTAAGATACTTATTAATTTTGAACAATTTTATGTAAATCTTGAAGAAAAAATGAAATCAACTTATAACGTTTATTTCTTGGTGTAGTTGAAAATCCATTTCGTTATACAGGATGTCTTTAAAATAAGTGCAAATATTTTAAGAGGTGGTAGAGGCAAAAAAACGAATTTTCTATTTATCATTTTTCATATAAATGAAAATTACAGAGTTAATAAATAACTTCTATACATTTGGGGCAGATTCATCTCTTCAAAAAGTCCTATAGGTATAAAGCGAAACGCTGGGTCGGCGCGGCGTTTACATGTAACTATAGAAGTGAATCGCTATGGCAATCTAGTAAGTCGGAGAGAGCAAAAATTCGAAGTATTTATTACATAATCATTTAATCTGACGCTAGATTCCATGCGCTTGAGAAAATACTTGTCTTCTGTCTTTATTCAGTACATCTTATTTTACTAAGCGTGTTGAACGTACTCTTCGTACACACGAAAATCGGCACCCAAGACCAGAAATGCCGACCCTAGTATAGGTACCACATAGGTGCCACATGCACTTTTAAATTACTTTATTTTTTTTTAATTAGCAGTTATCAGCTGTTATTACTTATTGATTCCCCCTGTAGACATAAGAGCGGATTTGATGGCCATCATAAGAACATTTTTGAATGTGCACTCGTCGAAGCTCATAGTATCTTGATAATATGGCAACATATTATCAAGATACTATGTTTTTAAAGAAATATTAAAAAAATCAAAATAAATTCATAGATAAAAACTCATAGAAATATACCACCTCTAAAAATATGCACTTATTAAAACTCACCCTGTATAATCAAAGTGTTCTATGATAAGAGCTTTGTTGGTAAATTTTAATTGTATTGAAGTACTCATTATTTATGTCTGACTGCCAACATCTACTTGTCTATATGGAATATGATTGTCTGTATTTTTTATTTTTGATATAATATAAGTTACCATTAATAACAAGCAACATTTGATTCCTATGTTATAGTTACTACTACTTATATTTAATACAAAAATATCTTCAAGTATTTAAATAAATCATTTGAACATTTTTTATATTCTTGTAAAATATCTTTAAATTGTTTTTTAAATGATTATAATATGTAATGATCAGTTTTGTTTTACAGAATCAATCAATCATATAAAATCTTATAGTGTCTATAATAACTTACTCTTTTTTTTTATCAAAATAAGATACTTCTACAGAGCGTAGTAAAATGAATAGTGCCATAAATGAGATATATCCATATACAAGTGACGTATGAAATCATAAAAGTGAGACCATACATATACAGGGTGTTTCCAAAGTAGTCTAACAAATTTTAGAGTGTGATTCCTCGTGTGTTTTTAAGAAAAAAAACTGTGTATAACATGTATAAAAGTGTAGTATAATAAAAATATTTTTTTAGAAAAAGATGCAGTGGCGTAGGTACCATTTATATTAATCAAGAAATTAGATTTTTTCAAAGTTTTAACACCCTGTAGATCAGAAAGGAAGTACTTTAGATCCCAGATTTGTATAAACTTTTTGTCTTAAAGACATATCGCAACCTATTTTTTTTAGGCTACTTAGGAAACACAGTGTATATGTAAACTATGACAAAACTCTTAACGCATTGAATAGTATAAAAAAATAACTGTAAATTTAATTTACTCTATTTCCAAAAATACATCAATGTAATGCTGTAATTACAAAGTAACTAGGTATATGTATAAATTGACTTTACGCAACGGTACTTAATTCTATTCATGTATTAATGAAACATATTTAAAAAGTATATAAGAAAAAATCTACTAGTAATATTAAGGATTAAAAATTTATGGTATGGTAGTGATTAATTATTTAAAGTAAGTTTTTGGAAACTAAAGCTCTTAGCATATTACAGCCAACGAATACAAAATGCACTTAAAAACGCACAATATAAAAAAATAATTATTTCAAACATAATTCAAACACTATCATACCCATTTGTTAAATATTAAAAATAAACCAATTTATCTGTACATCTTTAAAATCTTTAAAGTTTTCCTCTTCAGTTCATAAACATTTTAATATTTTGGGTAAAAGTTAACTTAAAATGAAGCTATGTGAACTTTATTTATTTATTTTATTTGTGATTTTTTTTAATTTTAAGTTAAGATATAGTTCGTAATAGCTTAATTTACCATGAAAACTTAACTGTCAATCAAGTACGTGTCATTACAAGACAATTTTTCTAATTTAATGATACTTGCGAATCAATATCTGCTGACATTCTATACAAATCGCGAGAAAAAACCTCAAAAGAACATCAATCTGAAAATCGAATAAAAACGACGTCAAAGTAGGCGTTGAAAAATAATAAATCAAGGAACTAGAGGTCATGGCGATATAAAGGCAAATAATGCACTGCCAATTTAGTTCAAAAAATTCATCGTATCACAATAATGTGTTCACGACACATCACATAATAATGCAACACAACACGAGCATTGGTATCTCTTTTGAAAATCAAAAAACTAGTGCACATTCTTATAGCGACTTTATTAGGGCTATCTGCTAGTATTTTTAGATTTTCAAATTAACTGATAGTTTGGCAGGGGCAAAGTTATTTTTTTTAAATACGGACCTGCATTTTTCATTTCGGGTTTTCAAAGAGCTCGGTCTCCTGAGTACAATGATATGCCACACTTTCTAATTTTTTTTTGTTTTGGCTACCTTAACAACAACAAAACTATTTAATTATTAATTAAAATAATTTAAAGTCCGACCCTGGCTTTTAAAATTATTTAATCTGATTATATTCATCGCAACAATGTTGAACAGCGCTAATTAACATTAAATCAGGCCAATTGAAAGATTCAAATAAATAATGTCCAGGTCAGCAATTTAAAGATATTATTTTTAACTTTTTTTATTGTGAATTTGAAATCTCAGTGCACGATCTAATAATATGCATAATATTAATTGTATTTATTATAAACCACCCTCCCTATTGCACAAATTTATTTCTCGTTCAATTTTATTTATAGCTCTTTGGACATATCTTCTTATACCGTATGATCGAAAAAAAAACGGCGTCCAGTTGGCTGGGAAATGACGATCGATGACATTTTAAAAATACTATCAGTCTTTATACTATACTATAAAGTCGCTATGAGAATGTGCAATTAGCCTTTTGATTTTCTAAAAAAATTCCAAAAAACTCAGCAATCAAAATTTTAAAACTTTTTTGATGGCATCTTGGTGAACATCCCAAAGCGCAACTTTGCCCCAATTTAACCATGTTCGTATCTATCACAGTTACCGAGATACCAATGCTGGTACCCCGAATTTGTAGCACCCTGTATATTATGTCAGCTAGATTCAAAAATTTTCATATTTTCCTAACTTTTATTTTAATTATTTTGTCTGTCATTTTTGTAGCTCTTATATTGAATCTTTCCAAAATAACAAAAGTAAAAAATAATCAAACAAATAAATCAGAGGAATTAATAGAATAATTGATATTTAAATGACAGCGTTAATAATATTTAAAAAAATAAATTCTGTAGATTCTTCGGAAAAAAAATATCAAAGAATGATTGTTTTTAGATTAAGTAATTACAAAAATAGTGAAAAAATTAAGAAAATTGTATGAAAGTTTTAAAATATTTTTAGGTAATTTTTGATCAATCTTATCAGTATTATTATCATCTATTCTGAGATTAGTAAGTCTATATTATAGTATACGATCGAAAAAGTCTAGTCGATTTGATTTTAGTGTATTTATTTAAACAATTATTTATTTGTAAATTTTCATTTGTTATAATTAGCGGATTTCAATTATAATTTTACGAAAAATATTGTAATTAACTTTTAGTTTTATTTTTATAATGTATCTAAAAAGCCATATATACAATCTTTGTAAATTTACATGAACTTTTAATAATATATCAAAAAATATCTGTCCTAAATTATAAAGTTTTTACACAACCAATTTGTAAGCAAAAATGTAGGATCTAAATCTAAAAGCTTTATTTTTAAAATATTTATCTACTTCCGTTTCTTGACACATCCGGTATAATAAAAATGGATATTTTTTTCTATTTTAATATACCGGGTGTTTCGCAAAAGTGGCCCACATTATCACTTTTCTATTTATACGGATAAAGAAACAGGAAGTGACCGCAAGCAATTGAATACGTGAATCAATCCAGATTTATGTCATAAATGCCAAAATTTCGTTATATTATCTAAAAAAAATAAAAAAGTTATAGGGGTGAGCCACTTTTGAGAAACACCCGGTATACAATACTTTTAAAAAATGGTTGTGTGAATAGGCTTATAATTACATTTTTATAATTTGCTACATATTTCGGTATACGTTTCAGATATTTCTAACTTATCTTCGGCTATTCCTAGTTAATATCAAAATAAATAATATATTAATTTAGAATTATCATACGAATTACATATCAGGAACTAAAATGTTGCACACTACAGTGATTTCGTAAACCTGAGGAGATTTAAAGATTATTAAATTAATGAAAACATAACATTATAAAATGTTGTTTTTCTTCAAGTTTACGAGACTTCTGTATGTAAATTCTTAAATGGGACAAAGAGTTTGTAACTGTAAATATTTTATTTGATTGTTTTTATTGAAAATATAGGGATGTTCTGAAATGTGTAGATATATTTTAATCTGTGGTTACGTTCTAGTCTGACGCATGGCTGTCATTCCTTCACAGTTTTAATGTGTATTTTTTTAAGTTATAGCCTTTGTTTATTTTGCAAAAAATTTAAATTTCTAAATTCATAAAACCTTCTATCATATTTATATTCGTAAAATTTTAGAACCAGCATTTTGAATTCAGAATAATTTTTATATATTATGTGTTAAGAGCGAATTTACAATAATATATTCTATAATGCCTATTATATTATTTTTGTGAATTAAGGACTATAAAAAAATACATGATTTATTACAAAAATAAAAATTCAAAGTATATTATTTTTTACTAAAACTTTTTTGAATTGTATCCGTTAACTATAACATATCGTTAATTTTATGTACTATTTATAATGTAATATTTTTTGTACATTTATTGTTGGTTACATATAATTTTACATTTTTTTATCTATTTATATTAATTTATTTTTGTATATTAATGCATTAAAGTGCTCTGAAAAGCAATAAAAATGTTTTTATTTAGCCCTGTTACCCACTATCCTTATAATATTATGTTACAAAATATCTATACAGGGTATTTCAAAACAAATTCAAACAACTGTGAGGGGTGTTTCCTTAATTGTTAGAAATCAAGGATATTTTGTTATACAGGGTGTCCCAGAAATCAGTGCAAGTATTTTAACTGGTAATATAGTTCATCCCAAGAAACACCCTATAAGGTTTTTTTCGCGAAAAAAAAAATTCAAAATTCGAAATTTTTTGAAAATTTTTTTGGATTTTTTTTTAGTTTTAAGTTAAACATAAAAACATAATTTCTTGATAATATGACAACATAGGTATTAGATTAAATTTACAAAAAAGTAAATCCAGAAAAGATCCAGTGGTTCACAAAATTTTAGCAAAAAAATTTTTTTTTTGGAAATTAACTAACGTAAAATAACTCCGTTATTTTGGACTTATTTGAAAAACGATAAAGATAAAATATGTTTTTTTTATCGAGATATTCCACCCCTTAAAATACTTGCACTTATTTCTGGGCAACCCTGTATAAACGTAGTGTCAGATATTGTAGTATAAAATGATGAAAAAATTATTACATCTATAAAATGTAATTATTCCATAAGTTTTTATCTTAAAAACTTATGGAATAATTACATTTTATAGATGTTACCAACACATAACAAGTCATACAGGGTTGTTCATCACATACAACACGGAATACAGTAGCTAATCGATTAGATTTTTACAAATTGTAAGTTTCGGGTTCGTTGACGGACTATTAGAGCTATAGTTTAAAAATATTTTTACAAGATACGGAGTGTCCCAAATAAATAAAAAATATCAAAGTTGTATTTTTTTAAATGAAACCCCCTGTGTATTTTCATTTTTAGTTTCTACCAGTTTCTATGAAAAAAATACAGGTAAATTTGATTAAGGTTTATCACATTTAAACCTTGCCGTTTTTGAAATATTTTCAATTTTGCGAAATTGCAGTAAAAATTTTAAAGCTTTTCATTTCTCCAAGGGTATCAAAGTTTTTAATACTAAATATTTACTGAAGTTTATTTATTGGTCCGTTATTATGTTGCAATAATATTTTTATTATTGCAACATACTACCTCATACAGACTGTCTATAAGTCTAAAAATTGTAACAAATCGTAACAATTGTAAACAAATGTACAAAATGTACATGAGCCAAAAACGATAATGTTACTAACCCATTGGTATACAAAAAGAAAACTATTTAAATCTTTGTAAAAGAGTAGGTATACAGGTTAAATATACCATCATTATTTCCGTCCAAATATTAATTAATTACATACCCAACTGTGTTAGATAATAAATTATTCTAAATAAATGTGGATTTGAATCAGAAATCAATATAATAATAAGTTATGAAAATGAACGTCTCTGTTGTTATAAATAAGCATTCGTCAAAAAATGAAATAAAATTTTTAAGGTGTTACTTTTTACCACACTGCCTATCATATACAAGGCTAATACACAATAAAATTAAGTTTTTTAGTATTTGAAGCAATAATTATTAATCAACGCAAAAATTCAATTAATGTAGTTTGAATACTGAAATCATATTAACTGGTCCCCTTTAACAAACATTTAAACAGTTTTTTTTTTAATGAAATAAACGAACTCTATCGACTCTTTAAAAATGTGTTATCTTTAAAAAATAATCTAAAATGTCAATATTCCATAGGTATATTGATAACTGAGGTCTAAATTATAAGAAAATGCATTTTCTACGAAAACTTGAAGATATAGATAAAAAATGGAATAAGACAATTAAATTGTGCATCTGATTCTCATAAAATATACAGGGTGTTCAATTTAAATTAAAAAATTATTGCCGTTTAAAGCTAGTAACTATTTAAAATAAATGTTTAGACACTCTGTATAAAGTAGTATAAGTTTTATTATTGCAACACAAAATTTAGTAAATAGAAATACTTCAGAACAATATTTGGTTTTAAAAATTTAAATACGTCTGGAGAAATGAAGCATTAACATGACTGTATTTTGACAAAAACCTAAATATTTCGAAACCGGTACGATTAAAATGCGGTAAACCTTAATCAAATTTACCTTTATTTTAATCGTAGAAACTAAAAAGTAATAATATACAGGGTGCTCCATTTAAAAAAATACAACTTTGATATTTTTTATTTATTTGGGACACTCTGTATTATGTAGAAATATTTTTAAATTGTAGCTCTAATAATCCTTCAACGAACCCAAAAATTACAATTTGCAAACATCTAATCGTTTAGCTACAATAATACTCCGTGTCGAATGTGGTGAACAACCCTGTATACAACCTGATATACATATAAAGCCATTTTGGAAACAATGGAGGTTTTTTTCCGTAAACGGTAGTAAATAATGATAATAATTTAGCAATAGAAGCACATTTATATTAAACATTATCAACAAAAATAATAAAAAACAAAAATTAATATCGAAATAATATGTTATTACCTTTTTTATGGTGCTTTAGCAAAATTAATTCAGTGTGAACTTAGTTCATTACCATTTTTACTCATGTGTATCCATATCCATGATTCGCTCTTTGATAATAATTAAACTTACACTAAAAAAAATAAAATAGATACAGTTAAAATAAAATTGAGTGTTAGTTAAACAAGAGTACTATCTTATATAATCTAGAAGAAAAGTGCCATCCTGTAGCTTACATACCATTTTTCTCCTGTATAACCATACAAATAACTTCCCTACAAAGCCAAAACTTAAATTACATATGACTTTGATATTTTAGTGTAATCGATAATTTTTTAGCGACGTTTTCCCGCTAAACTGGCTACACTGAAAAAAACCCGCTAGATCTAGCGGAAAAACTGCTAAGTTGGCAACAGTGCATCCGCCGTTATCAAGTCCTGGATAGATGCTGTCCGCTGCGCGCAGAAATTCCATCGCGTTGCCATGAAAAACCTGACGCTCGCTACCGACGCGAAACAAATACAATGACCGGTCGCCGTAATATGTTAAAAACTCGACAAGAAATTAATCAAAATAATGTAAATTAATAAATATTTCGGTAAACTTACCCTTTTAATAGACTTAACAGACTCCCGGGAACATAATTTTATAAAAACAATCACTACCACATAAGTATTTCCACAAAAATATCGGAAAAAAGAAACGAAAAATTTTTTGACAGGACTCCGCCCCGGCTGCTTGTTCAACACTGGCAAAATTGTTGATATTTTGTAGATTGTTGCGATTGGCTAATAATTATTACCAATGGTTATGGTCTTATAACAGACATATGTGATTGACGTTTTTAGTTATGGAAGGAAGTTTTAACGAAAGTATTGTATCGTAAGGTAAATGTTTTTAAAATAGGTAATAAAAGGGCTTTTTATGGAAAAATTGGTTGTATTATTCGACTTAATAATTTTCTTTCATAAATATGAGGCGTCAAGTTGCAAAACGTTGTTTTGATATTACGCAAAACTGTTTTAGCGAATATTTGAAGCCTTAATTTTACAAAAAATATGTCTATTGAGTGGAATCATTGTTTTGTATCTCGTTTTTTTTAGAAATAAAAATTAATATTTAATTTTTAAAGAGAAAATACACAAAAATAATTCGGATAAGGCGGGTTTTGTTGCTGACCTATGATGCATATTGCAGGTTTTGCTACAGCAAGATATTTGCACCATAACTTGCTTTATTAGATATGCTATTTTATTAAAATTAGGTCAGCATTTGAAACGGATAAAGCGCCAGTAGTAATTAGTAATATTATACAAAAAAAACGGTGTCAGATCGTTTGTCATTTTATATGTAAAATTATATTGTGAATGTCATCGATCATCATTTTCAAGCCAACTGGACGCCGTATTTTTTTGATCATACGGTACATATGTGTAAAAAGCCTATGAAAAAATGCGGGATATGCAACAATAATGATAATAAAAAGAAAATATAAGTGGATAACATGGATTTTGATGCAGTAACGTAATTTCTAGTGAATTTTATATAAAACAGGCGACTTTTACTGCAATTTGGGTAGTGTTTATGTAGATTTCAGCAGTATATACGTACATTTCATTTATTAATATATGATGAGTTCCGAAGAGAACTGGATCAAGCCCTAGAAGATAATTATGGAGAAAATAAGAGTTAAAGTTTTTTAATGTTACTTAATTAAAATTAAACAAGCTGGAGAGAAAAGACACAATAATTTATTATATTTTAAATTGTATAGAAAATATAATAAAGCATAATATCTTTCTTCTCCAGCTGGTTTAATTTTAATTAATTGTATAATTGCAAAGTAAAATAATTCAAAATACAACTGTGGTCCAAAAAAATTCAACAATTTTTAAGAATGTTTGTTTATACTTATACAGGGTGTCCCAGAAATAAGTGCAAATATTTTAACTGGGAGTATAGTTCAACCCCACAAACACACCTATGAGGTTATTTTCGCGAATAAAAAATTTGAAAATTCGAAATTTTTTGAAAAATTTTTTGGATTTTTTTTTAGTTTTTAGTTAAAAAACATTTTTTAAATAATGTTACCGAGTCCCGAAAGTACCGAAAGAACCGGGAATTAATAATTTCGAGTCCCGGTTCTCTGATGTCTCAAAAGAACCAGGAATACCCGGTACTTTCGGTACCGCAATTTCGGTTCTGAAACCTAGTCAACATTGTAGTTCATTAAATTTAGATGCACAAAAAAAAAACAAAAAGAAGTCCAGAAAACGATAGTATAATACTATGGAAACGCGTTTTGATTTTTAGGACTTCTTTAGGAACAAAATTCAACCATATTTTCATGTTTTTTTTTAATTATCCCGAAAACGGTATGGAAATTTGGAAAAATATAAACAGAATTGACCATTTTAGAACAAGCAAAATTTTTATGAAGAATGCATTTTTTCCCAAAATACCGACAATAAAAAAGGCTTTCCTCTTGTAAAGAATATCTGGGGACATACTGTATATGGAATCGTCAACAAAGAACTATACAGAGTGAATTTTAAATAAATGGAAATATTTTTAGGGGTAATATATTTCGACCCTTGAAAAATAATTATGAGGTTTTTTTCGCGAAAAAAAAATTGAAAATAAATTTTTTTTTAGTTAAAAAACATAACTTCTTGATAATATGGCAACATATAGGTATTAGATTAAATTTACAAGTAAGAAAATCCAGAAAAGATCCAGTGGTTCTCAAAATTTTAGCAAAAAATCATTTTTTTTGGAAATTTTCAAAGTAAAATAACTCCGTTATTTTAGACTTATCTGAAAAGCGATAAAAAGAACATGTTTCTTTTATCGAGATCTACCATCCCTTAAAATATTTGCACTTATTTCTGGGACACCCTGTATAGTTAGAAAATTTTTATACTAAAATTTATGTAGATATGGGGGTAGTTTTCACCCTTTCTGTATTTTTTCTTCATTTTTGTGTATGTCAAATGTTAAAGCACTTAGCAAAACATAGACACCCAAAATCTCATTCAAATTGGAATAACGGTTCTTAAATATTTGAAAAAATGTGTTTATTTTTTTTGATTCTCTAGCTGACAAATGCAGCACTTTTGTATAGAGATAAATTGTGTCGAATGAATTTATTTTGATTCCAAGAATACGTAGTAGTTCTATGTCCACGGAATATTGGAACATTCTTTATATACGTCGTACGTCCTTTCAAAATTATTGGATAAAAATCAAAACATTAAGCGCGCGGCGCCATTTTGTTACCTCGGTAACAACGATTTTGTTACAACCCGGTATAATATAATTTATTTGGGGATTTTCGGTATAATTATTTGATTCAATCAAACTTGACAGTGATTGATATTTTTTGGATTTTCTTAAAATTACACGAAATATTTTTATGTTGTTTGAAACTGTTCAACAGTGGTAATTGTTTGATCAATATCCTAGTTCCCAACCTCATATTTGTAAGTTTATACATTTCTATAACATTATTCCGACACAAATGGAGAATCTAAAAGAAGAAAATGTATATAATAACGAAATATGTGCGATAAATATGATGCACAAGAAATACGAAAATCAGACATCTCAAATTTCCATAAGCGAATTTTTAAACTTTTTGAAAACAGCGTATCAGGTAAAATTTTGTATTTAAATTGAATAAACTGAAAGCTTTAATAATTTGAATTTAAATTCCATAGGTTCAAGATTCAATAGAAGGTATACTGATGCAAGATGGTATGGTTGAAGCGGTAAACTGGTTGAAAGTGAAGGAAGCTGAACTGAATAAAAAATGTAAAAGTATTTCGGCCCAAACTTCCGAGAGTACGATTCTAAAGAAGTCAGCAGATGAGAAAAAAGGTGAAATTTTTATTATACCGGGTAGTGCATCGTCGTTGGAAATACAGGAACCCCAGTACAAATTTTGAAACGTCCAAATATACAGGGTGGTCCGAACTATATTTCAGAAACTTCGGCAGCATATTCTGCAGAAAAAAATATGTGTAACAATTCGTATAAATGTATGCCCTGCTAAGTTTCGGAGATACCGGCTGTAGAAGTTTCATTTTTATTTCGACTTTTTCCAAATAATTTCTGAAGTAACGTCAATATTTAGATGAAAATTGCTGTCTGGGAGTTTTTTGACATGAGAAATTTGATTTTGATGTCAATATGGTTTGAAGAGTAACAACTTTTCGTCCGTGCCTGTATAAAACTACTGAGTAAAAAAATATGAATTTACGGTGTTTTTTACGTTAAATGGGTCTCTTGGTAAAAATCGCTACGCGGAATGCTTCTTGAGATATTTTGAATTGAAATTATCAATACCTGTCAACATTGACATGAATTAGACATGTTTACTAAATAATTATTAGACTGAAATTATAAATTTGAAATGTTTTTGTGCCAAAAGTTCAACAGAAACTGTTTTATCATCATTTTTTCGCAAAAAAAATTATGCTTAATTTAAAAAAATAAAAATTTCCCAAATTTATTATTTCACTCAAATAACTATCTACTCAACGTGTTTATTTTTTGTCAATAATCACACGTATTGATTAATATTGGTCTAAATATCTTGAGAACGGTTGCTCGTAGCGATTTTTACCAAGAGACATTTTTTAAAAAGTCACGGAAATGTATATTTTTTCACTCAGTAGTTTTATATAGATACAGACGAAAAGTTACTGTTGAAAACAGTTAAAACACATGTAGCTGGCGCCATCTACAAATAGGAGTCATATTGACATCAAAATCATGATAAATTTTCATGTGAAAAATCTCCCAGACACCAATTTTCATCCAACTATTGACGTTACTTAAAAATTATTTCGAAAAAATCAAAATAAAAATGAAACTTCTACACCTTGTATCTCCAAAACCAAGCATTTTAGGACATACATCTATATGAACTTTTTTTCTTATTTTTATCTGCAGCATAAAGTATGCTAAAGTTTCCGGAGTATAATTCGGACCACCCTGTATATTGACTCATCTGTCGGATTTATAGCGAAGTCAGAAGTCACTAATAATTTTTTTTTAAGTTCCACATGCTAAATACACATGCCAAATTTGAACAATACAGAACAAACCGATTTTAACTAAGTTAAGAAGGCAAAACTAGGCAAATGCCAACTTACCATAACCCTTTATAGAGCAGTACTAATTATTTTCTAGTTTGATCAAATTGACATCAAAAATGTATAAACTAATACAAAGAGAACATATCTTCTTAATAACATTTTTCAAAAAGTTAACAAATAAGGGAGTAGAGTAGGGGGGGGGGGTCGATTTTTCAACCAGAGACTGTTAAAGCAAATAGATAATATGTAGTGACCTAATGTATAAACTATGTATCATCCAATGTAAGAAAAAAGGGTTAGTTCATTTTGATTAACTCTGTTAGCTCTCTACTCAAAAATATGCCCATATCAAGTAAATCAAATTTTGTTTTTCGAGAAACTCGCATCCTTTGAGAAATGATCGAAAATATATAGGATATGTTTAATGTTTGTCGGGTAATATTTTAGAAAATGAAAAAGAAAGAAATAGTGAGGGAAATGTATAAAAAAGAAGAGACAAGATTAAACGGCTCAGCCCTCAACAACTCGTAACCGTATACACCAGTATACACCAGTGCAGACACGCACACTCGCACACTCATACAACCAGACCTACACTAGTGCACACTGATGTAACTGCCTTCAGGCTTCATCAGTACGGTAAGGAATCAGGAAGCGAAGAAACCGATCCCAAACACACAAAAAAAACAGGAAGCAAACGATGCAACGAGGCACCGTGTGCAACCCAGGAGATGGAAAAAAATTGATGAAGAAACGAAAATAAAAAATGGAAAATAAAAGGAGCAAACGGGAGCCTAAAGCCCCAATTTGCAGCCAAGAACCAGAGTCGCCCAGGATTATGGGCTTCGTCCAGAACAGCCGCGTAGATAGCTCCTTTTATTTTCCCGTTTGCTACTTTTATTTTCCATCTTTTATTTTCGTTTCTTCATCAATTTTTTTCCATCTCCTGGGTTGCACACGATGCCTCGTTGCATCGTTTGCTTCCTGGTTTTTTTGTGTTTTGGGATCGGTTTCTTCGCTTCCTAATTCCTTACCGTACTGATGAAACCTGAAGGCAGTTACATCAGTGTGCACTAGTGTAGGTCTGGTTATATGAGTGTGCGAGTGTGTGTGTCCGCACTGGTGTACACTGGTGTATACGGTTACGAATTGTTGAGGGCTGAGCCGTTTAATCTTTTTTCTTCTTTTTTATACATTTTCCTCACTATTTCTTTCTTTTTCATATTGGTACCACGGCTAAGGGTATTGCGGCGGGTTGCTGTTGGCTACCTCCGCGGCTGTTCTGGACGAAGCCCATAATCCTGGACGACTCTGGTTCTTGGCTGCAAATTGGGGCTTTAGGCTCCCGTTTGCTCCTTTTATTTTCCATCTTTTATTTTCGTTTCTTCATCAATTTTTTTTCCATCTCCTGGGTTGCACACGGTGCCTCGTTGCATCGTTTGCTTCCTGTTTTTTTGTGTTTTGGGATCGGTTTCTTCGCTTCCTGATTCCTTACCGTACTTATGAAGCCTGAAAGCAGTTACATCAGTGTGCACTAGTGTAGGTCTGGTTGTATGAGTGTGTGAGTGTGCGTGTCTGCACTGGTGTACACTGGTGTATACGGTTACGAGTTGTTGAGGGCTGAGCCGTTTAATCTTTTTTCTTCCATTTTAGAAAATATTACCCGAGCATAGCAAACAAACTGGGCGATAATAAATACACTTCCACGCGACTGATTAGTTGGTTAAATTAAAGTGGTCGATTTAGCGACCATCAACCTATAAAGGGTTAAACTGGGGTTTCCTATTTTCGCAACGACGCGCACCACTCGGTATACCTATAGTTATGTGGGGAAACTAAATTAATCTATGCTTATTTTAGATCAACCTAAACGAAAGAATTCGATACAAAACTTAAACCAAGACTCCGATGTTCTGAAGAAAAAATTGAGTGAAGTTTTATCAGAAGGCTTATTGGATTCCGTTTTGCCATATTTAACACAAAATCCCAGTGGAAGAATTCATAGAAGTTATTCGTGTGCTTCTATTAAAAATAATGGTAATGAATAAGATTCATAGATAAATAAAACAAGTTTAGATTGGAAAGTGCCCATAAGGACATTGTATAAATACTATTTGGCGCTATTCTTACAACGGTGGCGACCCAAAGCTTTTGATAATTTCGGAGCAAAAATTTCGGCTTTTTCCGGAATTATGTCGCCAAATGTATCATTTATTCAAATTTGTTATTATTTTCTTTTCATTTTTTAAATAAAACACAGTATGTTGCATATAAGAAGCTTGAACATGTATGAAATACCTATGGAACATTGGAAACCGACGTTATGCCACGATGGTTTTTGCAGTTCACAGTTTAAACAGCTTAAGTTTTTTTAATGCCACTTTGTCACAAATATCAGGGGTTTGAGTAAATAAAATTTAAATTAAACTTACAAGATAGTAATAAATAATAATATTAACGAAAATGGATGCTTTAAACACTTTTCGGCATTTTTTGAATGCGGGCGGTTTAAATTTTGAAAGATTTTATAATTTTGCAAGATTATGACCTGGACAAGAGAAAATTCTTTCTGTTCTTGTTTGCGGTTGTTCTTAGAAACCGCTAAAGCAGCGCAATATCCCGTACAACGTATGCGACCCATTGTGCATATCACAATCTAAATTTATTTCCTTTATCTATGATAAGATTGTATTTTGTTTATTTAGTTATCGCTTAACGTCACTGTCAAAATTAAAAGTTGATTGGTCTGTCAAATAATGACTTTTTGAATTTAATTTTTTTATTAAAAGCTTATGACATACTTGTTATTAGTATTGTTGAATCTGTGTAAAAAATAAGAATTAATAATCAAATTTAATTATTTTAGAGTAAAATTCAACAAAAACGCTCATTTAAAAAGCCCGCGCTTCGATCCATTTAAGACAAGCCCCACTCAATAGATGGAGCCACTTCTGTAGGACCATTTTTCAGTATGGCAGAGTCCATTCTTTTTCTAGCTAGGTATATTCTTTGCTTATGAGAAAACGACGATTTTAATATTATTTCAATGCGATCCACATCGGAACTGCGTGAAATACAGAGCAAAAACTTCTAATTTCTGCCGTATCCAGCGCTGCGGTCGGAATTTTTAAAATTAACTGAAATGCACCAAGCCTATACTATTTTACCAAAAATTGAACTTACCAAGTTTTCAAAGTAGGGCACAAGGTAATATCGATATGTTTGAGGAAGAGTGAATTTTAATGGTCTAGAACAGTGTTTTTCAATCTGTAGTGTTTTTCAATCTTACTCGGGGAGTCGCCGGCTTAAAGAAAAAGTCGAGGTTCTTACATAACAAAAACACAATTTTAGTGAGAAGGATGTGCTTGTTTATTTTTCAAAAGCTTATCAAATTGTGGTGCTATTTTTGAAACGTTAATAGTCAAATCGTTTTCTAATTGCAGTCTATTTCTCTTTTTAGTTTGACACAAGTATGAAGTGGCGAATGGCACTAATAATTTAAGAGGCTTCCCTTGCCAGCTCTGGATATTCGTGTTTTCTTTTTATCCAAAATACGTCGACATTTTGTGAATAAAATTCCATTTTAAGCATGACATCAGGGGCTAAATCTAGAAAACATTCTTTCATTTTTGTGGTGACATCAGCCAGATCTATTGATTTGTCCAAAAAAGCGTTTAAAATCCATCTACGCCCATTGTCAGCTTCAGAGTGCAAGTCTGGAAAGCATGCCAAAAGTTTCTCTTGCAAATTATGCAAGCTCTGTATCATGCAAGGAATGTGAGCTGATACTGCAAAACTTTGGTCTGTTGTATTATCTTCAATAATCTTCTGAACACATGGAAAAGATTCGAACGTTTTGTTTTGCAGAGAGGTTGACCACAAACGAAGTTTGCGTGAAATGCTTCTACTTTATCTTTCGCTGTTAAAATATCATCTTCTCTTCCTTGAAGGTTCTTGTTCAAATTGTTAAGGTGGCTAAAAATATCTGCCAAAAATGCTAATTTCAAGAGTCAAATAGGGTCAGCTTGTCAATACCTTTCCTTTGCCACCTGACCTTTGTGTGATAAAGGAGATTTTGAAGAAGCGAGCCCATATCTTCACAAATGATTCTGAATAGCCGGGTTTGGAAAGCTTTACCTTTGATAGAATTCACAATTTTTATTACCTCCTTGAGCACGTCATTTAAATCAGAAGGTACTACCTTAGCAGCTACAGCCTGTGTTTAGCGCCATCGCTACAAATAGCGATACATTTTTTTCAGTCAATATCGTAGTACTTTCTAAAAACATATTGTATAAACACTGGCTAGTAGTGTTTGCAGGAACTGCTTTGCAATCTTTGTATCTGCTTCAAAGTGCACAAATACTACAATAAATGTACCAAAATAGGAAAAAAATAATTAACTAACGTATGTTTTTAGTCATTTAATTAAATAATTTTTTTGGCTTTCTATGACACAGGGGGTCGCCAGAATATTTCAACCTGTAAAGGGGTCGCGAAATCAAAAAAGATTGAAACACACTGGTCTAGAAGATCTGCTCCTCACATCTGCGACCTTATTTAGTTACCTGTTCTTAAATTCGTCAAATATGAGAATTATAGTAAATTAGTACTGTATTTACAGAAAAACCAAATCCAAAAATCCAAAACTTAAACTCGACAAATGAAAAACTTATTAGAAGATCTAGTGAGTCATCGACCAAAACTGGACTGATTTTAACAGAGTAAGAAGTCAGAGATTAGGGAGTAGTAAATCACATGATATTTGTCCGTTGTATGGTAACTATTAAAAAATATGTATATTTTTAGTTCTGAAGTGGAAATTCACGTTTGTGATGAAGTAAAGAGCATGAAAAAAACTTTCATATGTAACCAGAAACTTTTGGTGGAGAAAATGGGATATTTCGCAGAAGTTACATTAGGTAAGATATTTAATTTTTGGATAAAATAATAAGATAATGCCTACATACACACATAGCCAAAATTATTACATATAACGATATTTTTATTTTATTTTGGACATCGGATTCTTTTTTTTTGGACATATTGGCTTACTACACGACACCAATATAAAATTAAAAATCTAAGTGCAACTAGGCTGTTATTACAATTTTATTTCATAATGAGTGAAAATCAACAAAAACAAATTTCATTTTAAACAGAAAATATTGAAAACAATTTTAATTATTTCTCACAACTAATAGTCTGTATTGCCTCTTCGAGCCTCAATGCAAGCTGTGAGACGACGTGGCATGCTCTCAATTAAGTTGTCCAGAAGATGTCTGAATTTGCAGATGATGGAATGGCTTCCCATGTTTCGCGCGGAGCAATTTTCAATTCATTTAAGGTAATGGGGGGGGTTATTCCGGTTGGCAATATGGCGTTTTACATGTCCAAAGCATGCTCAATCACATTCATACCTGGAGACATCGGTGGCCACCACAGTTTTCTTATACCCTCTTCCTCACAAAATTCGCGAACCGCTAAAGTGCGATGGGGAGGAGCATCATCGTCCATGTAAACAAATTCATCCCCCACTGCCTCTCGAAATGAAGGCACAATAGGCTCTAAAACGTCTCTAAGATATGAGGCACCTGTCATTGTGCCATCAATAAAAACAAGAGGAGTTCGAGCTCCGTGTATTATACCTGCCCATACCATAATGCTGCCCCCTTGAAACGGGGCACGGGGTTGAGCTGCATTCAAGCGTGCTCGTCTTCCAGATGCTTTCCAGACCAAAGTTCGTCGCGAGTCTGACACTAGGCCTATTCTCGTTTCATCACTAAACATGACGGTCCAATTAGGTCCATTTGCTATATCCTCAGCCCATTGTAGTCGCATAATTTTGTGCTGTAAATAAAGCTTCGGAACACGTAGAGGCCTCCTTAAATGTAATCCTCTGTCATGGAGTCTTCTTGCTATGACCTTTCTTGAAACATTTACTCCTTCAAGGCGAGCTAACTCGTTTTTAATAGCAGTACTAGAAAGCAGGGGATTACGTCGTGCCATTAGGGATATTTGACGGCCTTGCACAGCAGTAGTAACTGAGTAACTCTCTTTCTGCCTCGTCCAGGCCGGTCTGTGTCTGTAACCTCGTTTGTCTCCTTGATTTTTTTTAATATTCGCGAAATATGGCTTTGGTTAGCTCCTACAATTTTAGCTATTGTAACTTGCCGGTAGCCCTGTTGAGACAGTGTTACTATTCTGACTCTATTAAACTGTGTAATAATATTTCTAGGCATTTTAAGACCAAAACAATGGTCAAATTTCTTCTGAAACCCAAGAGACCACAAATCGAAATGTGCAAGAATTTGTAATAATATTGGGTCTGAACAGGGTCTGGACGATAAACATTGTTTACCATATCCGTTTTAGCAAAAAAATGTTTATTACAGATTATCAAAGCTATGAATAAAAAAAGATTCTTTAAATTCCTTTCAGTATATTTTTAAACGATATATGCAATAATTTTGGCCATGTGTGTATATATCGTAGTCTCATAGTGTATTTCGTCTTTTCATGAAGATCCTAGGTCACTTCATAAAGCGTCGGTTAGGTTAGGAGTTTAGTTATGTTATTAGCTTAGTTTTTTTCATTAAGTGACTAGGATCTTCATGAAAAGACGGAATACACTATGAGACTACGACATATATTTCATACCAATTAAACTTTTAGTTACGTAATCAAGGGTGCGATTTTTAAATACTTTGTTGCCAACCATGGACATATTCGCGCTGGGGATTCAGGTGAGGTAGCTCTGTTGTAAGAAATGTCAAATTTCCGCATTTATTTATTTATTTCCTGACATTGTCATTCATTTTGGCACTTTAGTTTTCTATTACGAGTTTCTAGTTTAAATAAATACTGTTGTGATACTTTAAGCTTAAAATGTTTACTAGCAGACCTTGTAGACGAACATTGTTCTTTTTAGAACCTCTTTTAGTGCGAAATGCACAAGATAGCTTAAAAGCCGTAAAAAAATCATCGCAACTTTAATAGAATATTATTACTAGAATATTATTTACTATTAATAGCCCTTTATGTCCCTTAAGTGCTGTTAAGAATGTGGGTTTTGTTGATGTAAATAATACCTGTTTATATATTTATAATTAAATTATTTTTGTTTCCTAAAATATTTTGATTAAAAGAAAATAAATAAAAGTGGGCAACGCTGTGCCTGTCAAGCTTAATCACGTGACTAAAAGTTTATTTGGTATGAACTGTATAAAAGTGGCAAACTTTTCCAATAACTCAAAATTCAATTATTTTATTACTTTGCAGTAATAATATACAGCTCACTAAAAGAGCAATCTTGGTTTGGCATCAGTCCTTTTTATAATTAACGTTATGTAATTTTTTTCGAAGGTCAGAAACTGGAAGACATGGATATTTCCGTTCACTGTGACATCGGCATATTTGAGTGGTTGATGCAGTGGGTTAAGAAAGAGTCAGTGCTCGAAGCAGATTGGCCTCAACTGGATGCCCAGTGCGTTGTTCCTATTTTAGTATCGGCAGCATTCCTACAAATGGAACCTCTTTTACAAGATTGCCTTTTATATTGCCATCAGCACATGAATGAGATATTAAGAAGTTCTGCTAATTTGAGTTGTCTGAACGATACGGTTCTAACAAGGTTAGATAATCTTAGGTTCATTCCCACAGCATCAGAAAACTGTCTAAAATAGTTAACCGAATTAGTAATCTATGTTTTTTGTATACGACATATCTATGACTTGGTGTGATCAGCTACATTTTACAAGTTTCTGCCCGGTTTGGATGCTTGTGGGAACAAACCTATAGTAAATAATATTGTAACTAATTTTGTATATATAATGGGCTCTTTCACTATATTTTGGAATTAGCATAATTGAATAAAGCAATTAATTCTAGAATTTTCTGCTATCTCACTTTCGAAAAATTTGAAGTGGTTCTTAAGAAAATAAATAAAAACAAAAAAGCCCAGAATAAAAATCCGCACTTTATTTTTAATACGTCACACCTGGCATGTTGAAAAGCGGCAACACGGCCGCGGCCGGGCCACTATGCTGACCCACCACCACCTCCACACAAGGCCAGTGGAATTGCAAACACTTACCTACCATAGTTTAGAATTTACTGAACGTTTGATAAATATATACTATTATGGTCAATATAGGAAGTTACTTGTTATCAATCATCAATTTCACTTCAAATATGCGCACATAGTGCACACACATTTTTTTGTGCAACTGCTATAAAACGCCGAATTTTGTGCCAAACGAGAATATTTAATCGGTCAAAATTCCAATCGGCAGACTAAGACGGCAGGCGAAAGTCCGCAAACCAAAATACAAGAGTTTCAATACGTCACAGGCCTAAAGACTAAATCCGCAGGTCGAGTCCGCAGGCCAAATCTAGTTATGCCCCTGTACACGAGAAGGTATCTAAAGGTGCGTCCAGACCTGACGAGACGAGAGCGAGGCAAGAGCGAGACAAGAGCAAGACGAGATCGAGACATCTTCTATTCATTTTTTGAGGCAAGTCTGCCACGAGACAAGCGAGTTGGATCATAGTGAAAGGAACCCAAACACATATTAAATTGTAATTGAATATAACAAAAGATGGCCAAATAATAACGCATACAGTAATAAATGTTTGCATCTTTAACATGGTATTTGGTTCGTCGTTCGTCGTATTATATTCATCGTCGGTTGTTTTTTGCCTTTTGCTTGTTTTTCCTTTAACCCTTCATTTGTTACGTCTTTTACAAAATAAGTTTTTTTGAACGAAATGTTAAATAGAAAAGTTATTTGAGAAGGTTAAGAAGCACATTTTAAAATTACTGTAGAGTATACAGGGTACTTCAAAAAAGTGTTGCGGGTATAACATATATTTTTAATGGGAATACCCTATTTTTTATTTTATTATTAGATTCTACGTACAATTCGGTAACTTTTTTTGTATATGATATTACCTAAAATTAATAGATTTTGTAGTTCAATTTGTTTAAAGAAATGTTAGATTTCGGTATGGTAAAAATTATCAGTGACATAATTCTATAAAAAAAATTATAATATATACGGTGTGCCGTTTAAAAAATTTTAAGATTATTTAATTTTAAATAGTCGAAATTCACAAATCAGAGCTAATATCTCGCAGTCGAGCGAGCCTACCAAAACCACGTCCACACTGTGACGCGAGTTTTCTTTGATTGGCCGTCGCAAAACCGACAGAGAACGGATCGCAAAGAGGCTCCGTAGGTTGTCTCGCGAGGCCACAGACCCGTCCACACTTAGCGAATTTAGAATGTCTCGTGCTCGTCTCGCTCTCGTCTCGTCATCAGGTCTGGACGCACCTTAAGTCCTCCGACTTAGATACCTACCGTTTATTTTTTAAAGGTTGGCAGCAATGTATACGAACAGTGAAATCAGATCCATCAAAGACAGAAAAAGATAAAAATCCAATCGAAACTTTTTTGCAAAACTAATTCAGTCACTGGCTGAACCTGATCCTGAAAGCGTTAGAGGACATTGGTGCTCATTAGCAAGGATATTCAGGTTTGTTCTTATATAAGATTAATATCAATCAAACATTTATTACATTTTACATATTTATCCATTATTAGGTGTGAAAGGTGTTACCAACTGATAAATCCAAACGTAGCATCCAAAATACCTTGTACACCTTCTTGTATGAGGCTTGAACCTGATGGTTCCATTATTAGTTTACATATCAGGTAATAGTTATTTACAGTACAAGTGTGTTTATGAACATGATTACAACAACGAGTGTGAACAATTAGAACGACGAGGTCGTAGACCGAGTCGTTCTAATCACACGAGTTTTGTAATCATGTTTAAACGCACGTGTCATGTACAACGTTTTATCTACAACCGAAAAATAAGAAAATGCTGTTTTAATTTTCGTTTATTAGTCGCCCACCTTTAACACCTTTAACTATGACATTTGTCACATTTTTTTCTGAAAAGTCAGTTTGCCCTGTCAAGTAAACGCGAGCACTTTTTGCCCAGAAAAATCATTTTAAAAATTACGATGAGTGATTCCGAAAGTCTCCCTTCAGATGTAGAAGTTGCCGCAGTTCGTGCCACGGAATCATTATTGCCGGAAAAGTTAATATATTTAGATGTTCGTAGTTGTTTTTCATTATTATAGCAACTAGTTGTGTTATAGATTCATAAGACCACTAGTTGTGTTATGAATCTCATAATGTAACTGAAATATAGTCTATAAAATGAATAACTTTGAATTTTGACAGTTATTTTTTACCAACATGGCAAATATAAAATCCCTCTATCAAAAAAGTTACTGATATTCTTTAAATTGGGTACCTGAACGAATCAGATAGGTAACTCTTTTTACTTTCGTGAAATAGAAAAGGAAAATAATAAACCAAGTGACAGTTCTTCCACTTCTTGCCAAAATCAACACGAAATGTCATAATTATCAAAAGTAAAATTTCATCAGCTTTTGACATTTCTAAATATCAGATCAATGCCGTCTCTAATAGAACAGCCTCGGAGCGATATTTATGACAACACGCTAGTTAGATACTACGGATTAATAAATTTAATTAAGTAATTTTTTGGATTATATTCGACACTATTTTTTTCATATGACACAACACTGATAAAGACTATAATGTTAGCCGAAACGTTTTTTTTAACCAAAAAAAAATGAAAACCCAAATAAAAACTTAATTAGCGTTTTCCCCGAACCTAAATCCCAAGAAAATCTAACATTTTAGAATAATTTTACATATAAAATGACGATCTTTATTTCGTATCCATCGCTGACTCCCTTTTTTTCTATGATATTGTATTATTTGCAAATATAATTTTTCGAACATTGATACTTCCAAAATATACATATAAATTTTAATGAATGCAAATAATAATACATCACTATTAGTGAATGGTAGATGTTTTTTAAATTAGATCAATTTCAAACCCCAAAATTTAAAATATATTTTACATTTACCCATTATCTTATGTACCTATTCATTATTTGTATATTCTAACAGATTTGCTGCATGGTTCTAGTTTATTTGCCAAAATATTTATTACTATAAATAGGTATATATTGTATTTACTAACTGTATATTATATATTTCATATAAATATATCATTTTTAAAACCAAAAATACGAGGAATAATTATGTTTTCCATATATTCTAACATATTTATTAATCCGTAGTACCTATCTAACTAGCGTGACGTCATAAATCTCGTTCGAGGCTGTTCTATTAGAGACGGCATTGCGTCAGCATGGCCGCGAGTTGCTAACCTAATAAATTAACACTAGAATAAACCGCAGGAACTGTCAAATTCAAAGTTATTCGTTTCACAGACTATACTAAAAAATAGTGATGTAAAAACGTTATAACTAAGCGGTTGTAGATAAAATATGTTACTATGTTTTGTACTAAGTATGTATATTAAATATATTCAAAGAAAATTTAAGATGCTTCTAATTGTCAATCATAAAAATTCAGGGCTAGTATTATAGTCCAAAAATTCAATTGTAATTAATAATATAAGAAATTTGGCGTATTCAAATACAATAATACCGTATGATCGAATAAAAACGGCGTCAGCGATGGCTATGAAATGAAGATCGTTGTCATTTATATGTAAAATTATATGGGAAATGTCATCGATCGTCATTTCCAAGCCAACTGGACGCCATTTTTTTTCGATCATACCACATCATGTATTTTTAGAATATATGTTTTCCTTTCATAGAGACTCATCATGGGATATAAACGCTTATATTCTAGAATTAAAACAAACCCTTAAAACCTGGAGAAAAGTATATTGGAAATTATGGGGAGAGGCTGTCATTTTCTATTCTGCAGTGTCTGTAAGAGGTATGCATTAATATTTAAAAAGTTACATACCCACGAAATTGTATCTAGTATAAAAACTAATTTATATTAATTTTTCTTCATAAGATATTTTCAAGTTAATCAAATTGGCTGGTGCAGATATCATCCGGATACGCCACAGTTTTTTACTCTGGATGCTCAAAGAGCTCCTCTGCCTATTGGACGTTTCCCTTGCTGTGGAGATCGAGCTTACAGGTTATCCGTTAATTTAAGTTCTTTTTATTAAATTAAGGTTGATTCTCAGTTAGGCTTCACTTAGACCTGGCTAAAGCCGGTCCCACACGATGTGTGAAACACCTTCCAACGTTGGACACAATGATGAACATTTGCCACATCGTGTAACTGCAATATAGCCTTTGTTTATTTTGCAAAAAGACTCTGAATTTCTAAATTCATAAAACCTTCTATAATATTTATATTCGTAAAATTTTAGAACCAGCATCTTGAATTCAGGAATGATTTTATATATTATGTAAGTTAAGAGCGAATTTTACAATAATATATTCTATAATGCCTATTATATTATTTTTTGTGGAATTAAGGACTATAAAAAAATACATGATTTATTACAAAAAATAAAAAATTAAAAAGTATATTAGTTCTACTAAAACCTTTTGAATTGTATCCGTTAACTATAACATAATGTTAATTTTATGTACCATTTATAATGTAACATTTTTGTACATTTATTGTTGGTTACATATAATTTACATTTTTATCTATTTATATTAATTCTATTTTGTATATTAATGCATTAAAGTGCTCTGAAAAGCAATAAAAATGTTTTTTTTTTATTTTAGCCCTGTTAACAATTACTTTATAACATTATGTTACAAAATATCTATACAGGGTATTTCAAAAACAAATTCAAACAACTGTGAGGGGTGTTTCCTTAATTGTTAGAAATCAAGGAGGTCTTTTGTTATACAGGGAAGTCCCAGGAAATCAGTGCAAGTATTTTAACTGGTAATATAGTTCATCCCAAGAAACACGCCTATAAGGTTTTTTTTTCAAGTGAAAAAAAATTCAAAAATTCGAAATTTTTGAAAATTTTTTGGATTTTTTTAAATTAATTATAATACAGTTAAAACATAAAAACATCATTTCTTGATAATATGACAAGATAGGGTATATAGGATTAAATTTACAAAAAGTAAATCCAGAAAAGATCCAGTGGTTCACAAATTTTAAAAAAAAATTTTTGAAATTAACTAACGTGAAATAACCTGCTATTTTGACTTATTTGATAAACGATAAAGATAAAATATGTTTCTTTATCGAGATATTCCACCCCTTAAAAATAATTTTGCACTTATTTCTGGGCAACCCTGTATAAACGTAGTGTCAGATATTGTAGTATAAAATGATGAAAAAATTATTAAAGTTTTTATCTTACAAACAAAAAGCGATGGAATAATTACATTTTATAGAGGTTACCATGAAAACACATAACAAGTCATACAGGGTTGTTCATCACATACAACACGGAATACAGTAGCTAATCGATTAGATTTTTACAAATTGTAAGTTCTTTGGTTCGTTGAAGGACCATTAGAGCTACAATTTAAAAATATTTTTAAAAGGTACAGAGGGTTCCAAATAAATAAAAATATCAAAGTTGTATTTTTTAAATGAAACCCCCTGTGTATTTTCATTTTTAGTTTCCTGCAATTCAGTTTCTATGGAAAAAAAAATATTATAGAATTTGGATTAAGGTTTATCACATTTAAACCCTTGCCGTTTTGAAATATTTTCAATTTTTAAGGAAATTGCAGTAAAATTTTAAAGCTTTTCATTTCTACAAGGGTATCAAAGTTTTTAATACTAAATATTTACTGTGTTTATTTATTATTCAGTTGATATGTTGCAATAATATTTTATTATTGCAACATAAAAACTGATCAATAAACAAACTTAATTAAAATTGAAAAAAAATTGTAAATAAATCGTAAATAATTGTAAAACAAATCGTACAAAATGTACATGGGCCAAAAACGATAATGTTACTAACCCATTGGTATACAAAAGAAAACCATTTAAAAAATGTTTAAAGAGTAGGTATACAGGTTAAATATACCTTACTTCATTATTTCCCGTCCAAAGGTTAATTAATTACATACTTAACTGTGTTAGATAATAAATTATTCTAAATAAATGGGATTCTTGAAACTAGAACAATATAATAATAAGTTATGAAATGAACGTCTCTTTTGTTAAGTATAAATAAGCATTCGTCAAAAAAATGTAATACAATTTTAAGGTGTTACTTTTACCATTAATTGCCTATCATATACAAGGCTAATACACAATAAAATTAAGTTTTTTTTTTTTTTTATAGTTTTTATTATTAATCAACAATCAACGCAAAAAGTCAATTAATGTAGTTTGAATAATTGAAATCATATTAACTCTGTCAAATTTTTCATCAAAAAAAAAAAATTTAAACAGTTTTTTATTTTTAATGCAATAAACGAACTATATCGGACTCTTTAAAATGTACAATGCATCTTTAAAAATAAACTAAAATGTCAATATTCCATGGGTATATTGATAACTGAGGTCTAAATTATAAGAAAAATGCATTTTCTACGAAAACTTGAAGATATAGGAAAAAAATGGAATAAGACAATTAAATTGCGCATCTGATTCTCATAAAAATATACAGGGTGTTCAATATAAATTAAAAATTATTGCTGCTTTTAAAGCTAGTAACTATTTTAAAATAAATGTTTAGACACTCTGTATAAAGTAGTATAAGTTTTATTATTGCAACACAAAATTTAGTAAATAGAATAATTTCAGAACAATATTTTAATTTTAAAAATTTAAATACGTCTGGAGAAATGAAGCATTAAAATTATTACTGTATTTTGACAAAACCTAAATATATTTCTGATCCGGTACGATTAAAATGCGGTAAACTCTAATCAAATTTACCTTTTATTTCAATCGTAGAACTAAAAGTAATAATATACAGGGTGCTCCATTTTAAAAAAAATACAACTTTGATATTTTTTATTTATTTGGGACACTCTTGCATTATGTAGAAATATTTTAAATTGTAGCCTAATAACCTTCAACGAACCTAAAAATTACAATTTGTAAACATCTAATCGTTTAGCTACAATAATAATACTCCGTGTCGTATGTGGTGAACAACCCTTGTATAGCCAACCTGATATACATATAGGTTTCATTTTGAAACAATGAGGTTTTTTTCCGCAAACGGTAGTAAATAATGATAATAATTTAGCAATAGAAGTACATTTATATTAAACATTAATAACAAAATAATAAAAACAAAAATTAGCCATCGAAATAATATGTTATTACCTTTTTTATGGTGCTTTAGCAAAATTAATTCAGTGTGAACTTAGTTCATTACCATTTTTACTCATGTGTATACATATCCATGATTCGCTCTTTTGATAATAATTAAACTTACACTAAAAAAATTAAAATAGATACAGTTAAAATAAAATTGAGTCTTTTAGTTAAACAAGAGTACTACAGTACGTCTGCTGGATCTGTGTCTATGAAAGGAATGCGGACAAAAAACATTTAAATAAACAGCAATATATTTTATACGTCGACTTGACGAGTAAGTCACCGCAAATCGCTCCGCCAACTTATTTTATTGGCTACTTCCAAATTAGTTGAATTTTTATTGATGGGATACGTCGCCGTCTAATTCTTTACGAAAAAATTTAGAGAAAGTATCGTTTTCCTCCCTCACGGATACCCCGTAGCTAGAGAACGGACAGACATACTGTATCATATATAATCTAGAAGAAAAGCGCCATCCTGTAGCTTACATACCATTTTTCTCCTGTATAACCCTACAAATAACTTCTCTACAAAGCCAAAACTTAAATTACATATGACTTTGATATTTTAGTCTGGTCAAATTGTATTTTTAATAAAAAAAAAAAACGCTAGATCTAGCGGGAAAACTGCTAAGTTGGCAACAGTGCATCCGCCGTATCAAGTCCTGGATAGATGCTGTCCGCTGCGCGCAGAAATTCCATCGCGTTGCCACGAAAAACTTGACGCTCGCTACCGACGCGAAACAAATACAATGACCGGTCGCCGTAATATGTTAAAAACTCGACAAGAAATTAATCAAAATAATGTAAATTAATAAATATTTCGGTAAATCAGAAATGACATCTTCTGATTTTTAAATAAAAAAACATAATTTTATAAAAACAATCACTACCGCATAAGTATTTCCACAAAAATAGCGGAAAAAGAAACGAAAATTTTTTGACAGGACTCCGGCCCGGCTGCTTGTTCAACACTGGCAAAATTGTTGATATTTTGTAGATTGCTGCGATTGGCTGACAACCAATGGTTATGGTCTTAGAACAGACATATGTAGATTGACGTTTTTAGTTATGGAAGGAAGTTTTAACGAAAGTATTGTATTGGGCAGTAAAATGTTTTAAAACAGGTAATAAAAGGGCTTTTTATGGAAAAAATCATTGTATTTATTCGGACTTAATAATTTCTTTCATAAATATGAGGCGTCAAGTTGTAAAACGTTGTTTTGATATTACGCAAAACTGTTTTAGCGAATATGTTCTTGTCTTTAATTTACAAAAATATGTCTATTGAGTGGAATCATTGTTTTGTATCTCGTTTTTAGAAATAAAAATTAATATTTTAATTTTTAAAGAGAAAATATTACAAAAATAATCTGGATAAGCATGGGTTTTGTTGCTGACCTATGATGCATATTGCGGATTTTGCTAAAGCAAGATATTTGCATCATAACTTGTTTTTATTAGATATGTATATTTTATTAAAAATTAGGGTCAGCATTTGAAACGGATGTGTAGTAATTAGTACAATATACAAAAAAAAAAAACGGTGTCAGATCGTTTGTCATTTTATATGTAAAATTATATTGTGAATGTCATCGATCATTTCATTAACTGACGCTGTATTTTTGATCATACGGTACATATGTGTAAAAAGCCTATGAAAAACAAGTGCTGGATATGCAACAATAATGATAATAAAAAGAAAATATAAGTGGATAACATGGATTTTGATGCAGTAACGTAATTTCTAGTGAATCTGATATAAAACAGGCGACTTTTACTGCAATTTGGGTAGTGTTTATGTAGATTTGTGCAGTATATACGTACATTCTACTTATTAATATATGAGGGGTTCCGAAGAGAACTGGATCAAGCCCTAGAAGATAATTATGGAGAAAATAAGAGCTAAAGTTTTTATCAAATATATGTAAAAAAAAAAAAAAAAAAAAAAAAAAAAAAAATAATTTATTATATTTTAAATTGTATAGAAAATATAATAAAGCATTATATCTTTCTTCTCCAGCTTGTTTAATTTTAATTAATTGTATAAATGCAAAGTAAAATAATCTGAAAATACAACTGTGGTCCAAAAAAAGACATGCAACAATTTCAAGAATGTTTGTTTATACTTCTATACAGGGGTGTCCCAGAAATAAGTGCAAAATATTTTAACTGGGAGTATAGTTCAACCCCACAAACACGCCTATGAGGTTATTTTCATGAAAAATTTTGAAAATTCGAAATTTTTCAAAAACTCTTGATTTTTTTGCCTTTAGTTAAAAACATAATTTCTTGATAATATGGCAACATATAGGTGTTAGATTAAATTTGCAAGAAAGAAAATCCAGAAAAGATCCAGTGGTTCTTAAAATTTTAGCAAAAAATCATTTTTGAATTTTCAAAGTAAAATAACCTCATTTTAGACTTATCTGAAAAGCGATAAAAAGAACATATGTTTCTTTTATCGAGATCTACTCATCCCTAAAATATTTTGCACTTATTCTTGACACTTGAATAGTTAGAAAATTTTATACTCAAAATTTATGTAGATGTGGGGGTAGTTTCTACCCTTCCTGTATTTTTCTTCATTTTGTGTGTATGTCAAATGTTAAAGCACTTAGCAAAAACATAGATTAATTCCAAAATCCTCATTCAAACCTTCGAATAAGAAGACTAAGGAAGGAGATATCAAAATCTTAGATACACCGCGATGGGCCCTAAATATGGCGGACTTAAATTCCGGTTTATCAGTGTCGTTCTAATTTTATTTAAAAACAAACTGTGATGTAGGTAGACGTGGGGTAGACTTAGACTCAATAATTTGTTGCTTCATTTTACGTTGTGAATAAATGTTGGTAGTTATTAAAACTGTTATAAAATATATAATCTCTAATAAAAATAGATAAGTTATAATAAGTATTTATTATTAACACAAACATCCGATACGCTACTGAAGCAGGTGTCAAATTTAACGTACTTAAATTCTTTGACATCTAATCTTTGACAAGTAATAAATAAAAGCTAAAATGCAAGAAAATATATAATTTAGTTAATTTTAAGTGAATTTCATAAATGACTCTGCTCTTACTACACGTATGTATTATATAGTCACTCTTACTAGCGAAAGTTGTTCCATTATTTCTCTCGATTATTGACTGAGATTTACCGCACGCTACACAATAACCAACTATTTTAGAGTCTTTTCGATAAATCGCGATAGTATCACTGTTAATTTGGTTCTTAAGCACCTACCTTTATACAACTATCTGTAGTAGAATAAATAATAAATAACATAAAATAAGCTCCATAAAGACTGACAAATCCAAAAAATTTCAAATCAAATCTGTAATGTGTCAAATGAATCGTCAAACAGAACTGTCAAGCATCCCCTAACCCTAGAGAGCTTTTATGGTGCTTTTTTCCGCCCACCATGCACGAATGCCATGAATACATGGATAGCATTATGCTCCTTCCTTAGTCTTCTTATTCAAAGTTCAAATCGGAATAACGGTTCTTAAAATATTTGAAAAAATGTGTTTATTTTTTTGATGCCCTCTAGCTGACAAATGCAGCACTTTTGTATAGAGATAAATTGTGTCGAATGAATTTATTTTGATTCCAAGAATACGTAGGTTCTAGGTCCACGGAATATTGGAACACTCTTTATATATGTCGTACGTCCTTTCAAAATTATTGGATAAAAATCAAAACATTAAGCGCGCGGCGCCATTTTGTTACCTCGGTAACAACGATTTTGTTACAACCCGTATAATACTATAATTTATTTTAGATTTCGATATAATTATTTGATTCAATCAAACTTGACAGTGATTCATATTTTTGACTTTCTTAAAATTACATCGAAATATTTTTATGTTGTTTGAAACTGTTCAACAGTGGTAATTGTTTGATCAATATCCTAATTCCCAACCTCATATTTGTAAGTTTATACATTTCTATAACATTATTCCGACACAAATGGAGAATCTAAAAGAAGAAAATGTATATAATAACGAATTATGTGCGATAAATATGATGCACAAGAAATACGAAAATCAGACATCTCAAATTTCCATAAGCGAATTTTTAAACTTTTTGAAAACGGCGTATCAGGTAAAATTTTGCATTTCAATTTAAATAAACTGGAAACTGTTATAACAATTTGAATTTAAATTTCATAGGTTCAAGATTCAATAGAAGGAATATTGATGCAAGATGGTATGGTTGAAGCAGTAAACTGGCTGAAAGTGAAGGAAGCTGAACTCAATAAAAAATGTAAAAGTATTTCGGCCCAAACTTCTGAGAGTACGATTCTAAAGAAATCAGCAGATGAGAAAAAAGGTGAAAATGTCATTTCATACCGGGTAGTACATCGTCGTTGGAAACACAGGAAAGTTCCACATGCTAAATACACATGAATATTATTTTAAGAAGGCAAAACTAGGCAAATACCAACTTACTTTAAACTGGGGTTCCCTATGTTCGCGACGATGCACCAGCGGTATACCGGATGCGTCTCAAAAGTAGCTCACCCCTATAACTTTTTTATTTTTACAGTTAAAAAAACGAGATTTGGTATGTTAGTATATGACGTAAATCAGGATTGATTGACGTATTCAATTTTTTTTCGGCCACTTCCTGTTTCACCGGAAATGATTAAAACTTTTGATTTTTAAATGGCACCCTCGGTATTTTTTACTTTACTTGATAGAAAACAACATTCTAAATAGAATGACATATCATATATCAACTTTTGACATTTTTGCATATGGTTTATTTGACATTATAATTTGTGGTTCGTAACAAAAATTTGACTCGAAATACCAAAAGTGTGTGGTATCAAATTATTCGTAAAAAAATGCTTTTTCCAAATATGCTAATGAGCCACCCTCGTTCCATTTGAAAAAATTGAGATATGATTAAAAATACAATTTGAGCATATTCTAACTGGCCAGGACAAGACACTAAAAACATTAGGCGATCAAATCTATTTCTCCAAGGCTCCTGGATTAAGAATTAGTGTTTTTAACCATGGCACTCTAGATCCAATTTTAAAATATGATTTTTTATTAAGCGAAAATGTCAAAAGTTGACATATGTTATGGTATTCTATTCAGAATGTCATTTTCTATCGAATAAAGTAAAAAAATACCGAGGGTGCCATTTAAAAATCAAAGGTTGTAGTCATTTCCGGTGAAACAGGAAGTGACCAACAACAATTGAATACGTCAATCAATCCTCATTTATGTCTTATACTAACATACCAAATCTCGTTTATTTATCTAAAAAAATAAAAAAATTATAGGGGTGAGCCACTTTTGAGACGCACCCGGTAGAGGGTCTTTCAAAAAACATGTTCCATCTCTCGTTGGGAGATTCCTCACGTAAAAATAAAATTTAGTTTTCATATCAACTTTGGTCGTAGCTACAGGGTGTTTAAGTCTTAATATTTTTTTAAGATTTATTATAATTTTCTTCCAAGTACTTTTAGTGTTTCAAATGAAATTTTGAGGGTAAAAGTCACTATAAATGCGACATATTTTAAGACCAAAAAGTTTCGCCATATTCACCAGGGACGTGCATATGGGTTATCACTGGAATATTTTTTTCAAAAAACGCATGTACGCCACTGATTTTTTTTTCTTTTGTTAGCGAAATAGTGTACTTACACTAAGCTTTTGTTAGCGAAATAGTGTACTTACACTAGTGTACTTAAACTACTTAGTTTAATGCCGATTAAAAGTTATCTCTTGATATTTTGTCGATTTAGGCCTCCTTGATGAGATAAACGTAATTTTTTTAATTTGCCTTTATCCAAGTCTAATAGCCAACTTAACCTTTAAAAAAATTTAATATCATTAACTTGCGAAAGTTTTAAATAAGTACTCATTGGTTCCTTAACAAAAAATATGAAAAAAAGTTCCTATTAACATGGGTATGCAAATGCATAGTTTTAGAGTTACAGGATGAATAAGAAGAATAACAAGTCTTAATCATCTACTGATGATGCTAACATGATTAGCGAAACGCGCGTCCAGTGTAAAAGTAAAAGTGTTTTGGTGTATTGTGATGATTTAGTGTTTTATTTTGAAGTTACAGGATGTTAAAACTTTTTAAAATTAGGTTTTTTGTAATTATAATAATTGCCATACTTTTTTTTATTTGAAATTTATGTAGGTTGGACTAATACTAATATAATAACTAATAGTAATAATATTTCATAACAAATTAGGTAAAATATATAATTTATTAATTTCATTTTTATTTTAATTTTATTAATTGTGATTCGACAAAATATCACAAGATCACTTTTAATTGGCGTTAAACGGCCTACTCAATTTTGATATCACAGTAGCGCACATGTTTTTTTTGAAAAATATTCCAGCGATAACCCATATGCACGTCCTTGATGACTTTATCGACACTTTTTGAGCATTAAAATATGTAGAATAATAGTAACTTTTACCCTCAAAATTTCATTCAAATCACTAAACGTACTTGGAAGAAAATTATAATAAATCGAAAAGTTATTAAGATTTTAACACCCTGTAGCTACGAAATAAAGCAGAATCGGACCTATATTGATATGAAAAATAAATAGTATTTTTACGTGAGGAATCTCCCCACGAGAGATGGCACATGTTTTTTTTGAAACACCTTGTATAACATAAATTAGGATTGATTGACATATTTAATTGTTTTTGGTCACTTCATGTTTCAGCGGAAATAACTACAACTTTTGATTTTTAAATGACACCGTCGGTATGTTTGTACCTTATTCGATAGAAAACGATACTTTTTGACATTTTCGCATATGGTTTATTTGAAATTGTAACATGCGGTTTCACAATGACAATTTGACTCGAAATACCAAGTGTGTGGTGCCAAATTATTCGTAAAAAAATGTTTTTTTCCAAATATGCTAATGAGCCACCCTTGTTCCATTTGAAAAAATTGAGATATGATTAAAGATGCGATTTAGATTTTTTTAAGCGAAAATGTCAAAAGTTGACATATGATATGTCATTCTATTCAGAATCAGAATGTCAATTCCTATCGCATAAAGTAAAAATATACAGAGGGTACTATTTAAAAATCAAAAGTTGTAGTAATTTCCAGTGAAACAGGAAGTGACTAAAAACAATTGAATACATCAATCAATTCTAACTTATGTCATATTATACCAAGTCTCGTTCTTTATCTAAAAAATAAAAAGGTTATAGGGGTGAGCCACTTTTGAGACGCACCCGGTATAGTCGTGTGGCTAAATTAAATTAATCTATGCTCATTTTAGATCAACCTAAACGAAAGAATTCGATACAAAATTTAAACCAAGACTCCGATGTTCTGAAGAAAAAATTGAGTGAAGTTTTATCCGAAGGCTTATTGGATTCCGTTTTGCCATATTTAACACAAAATCCCAGTGGAAGAATTCATAGAAGTTATTCGTGTGCTTCTATTAAAAATAATGGTAATGAATAAGATTCATGGATAAATGAAACAAGTTTAGATTGGAAAGTGCCCATAAGGACATTGTATAAATACTATTTGGCGCTATTCTTACAACGGTCGCGACCCAAAGCTTTTGATAATTTCGGAGCAAAAATTTCGGCTTTTTCCGGAATTATGTCGCCAAATGTATCATTTATTCAAATTTATTATTATTTTCTTTTAATTTTTTAAATAAAACACAGTATGTTGCATATAAGAAGCTTGAACATGTATGAAATACCTATGGAACATTGGAAACCGATGTTTTTTGCAGTTCACAGTTTACACAGCTTAAGTTTGTTTAATGCCACTTTTTCACAAATATCAGGGGTTTGAGTAAATAAAATTTAAATTAAACTTACAAGATAGTAAGGATAATTACTTTGAAAATGGATGCTTTAAACACTTTTCGGCATTTTTTGAATGCGGGCGGTTTAAATTTTGAAAGATTTTATAATTTTGCAAGATTATGACCGACAAGAGAAAATTCTTTCTGTTCTTGTTTGCGGTTGTCTTAGCAACCGCTAAAGCAGCGCAAGATCCCGTACAACGTATGCGACCCATTGTGCATATCACAATCTAAATTTATTTCCTTTATCTATGATAAGATTGTATTTTGTTTGTTTAGTTATCGCTTAACGTCACTGTCAAAATTAAAATTTGATTGGTCTGTCAAATAATGACTTTTTGAATTTAATTTTTTTATTAAAAGCTTATGACATACTTGTTATTAGTATTGTTGAATTTGTGTAAAAAATGAGATTTAATAATCAAATTTAATTATTTTAGAGTAAAATTCAACAAAAACGCTCATTTAAAAAGCCCGCGCTTCGATCCATTTAAGACAAGCCCCACTCAATAGATCGCGCCACTTCTGTAGGACCATTTTTCAGTATGGCAGAGTCCATTCTTTTTCTAGCTAGGTATATTCTTTGCTTATGACAAAACGACGATTTTAATATTATTTCAATGCGATCCACATCGGAACTGCGTAAAATACAGAGCAAAAACTTCTAATTTCTGCCGTATCCAGCGCTGCGGTCGAAATTTTTAAAATTAACTGAAATGCACCAAGCCTATACTATTTTACCAAAAATTGAACTTACCAAGTTTTCAAAGTAAGGCACAAGGTAATATCGATATGTTTGGGGAAGAGTGAATTTTAATGGTCTAGAACAGTGTTTTTCAATCTGTAGTGTTTTTCAATCTTACTCGGGGAGTCGCCGGCTTAAAGAAAAAGTCGAGGTTCTTCTACAACAAAAACACAATTTTAGTGAGAAGGATGTGCTTGTTTATTTTTCAAAAGTTTATCAAATTGTGGTGCTATTTTTGAAACGTTAATAGTCAAATCGTTTTCTAATTGCAGTCTATTTCTCTTTTTAGTTTTAATGTCTACCATTGAAGAAAATGTCAGTTCACACAAGTATGAAGTGGCCAATGGCACTAATAATTTAAGAGCTTCCCTTGCCAGCTCTGGATATTCGTGTTTTCTTTTTATCCAAAATACGTCGACATTTTGTGAATAAAATTAAATTTTAAGCATGACATCAGGGGCTAAATCTAGAAAACATTCTTTCATTTTTGTGGTGACATCAGCCAGATCTATTGATTTGTCCAAAAAAGCGTTTAAAATCCATCTACGCCCATTGTCAGCTTCAGAGTGCAAGTCTGGAAAGTATGCCAAAAGTTTCTCTTGCAAATTATGCAAGCTCTCTAACATGCAAGGAATGTGAGCTGATACTGCAAAACTTTGGTCTATTGTATTATCTTCAATAATCTTCTGAACACATGGAAAAGATTCGAACGTTTTGTTTTGCAGAGAGGTTGACCACAAACGAAGTTTGCGTGAAATGCTTCTACTTTATCTTTCGCTGTTAAAATATCTTCTTCTCTTCCTTGAAGGTTCTTGTTCAAATTGTTAAGGTGGCTAAAAATATCTGCCAAAAATGCTAATTTCAAGAGTCAAATAGGGTCAGCTTGTAAATACCTTTCCTTTGGATAGCCACCTGACCTCTGTGTGATAAGGGAGATTTTGAAGAAGCGAGCCCATATCTTCACAAATGATTCTGAATAGCCGGGTTTGCAAAGCTTTACGTTTGATAGAATTCACAATTTTTATTACCTTCTTGAGCACATCATTTAAATCAGAAGGTACTACCTTAGCAGCTAGAGCCTGTCGATGAAGAAAACAGTGTGTCCAGGATATGTTTGGCATCATCGATTTTAACTTTGCAATAAGTTCGCTCTTTTTGTCAGTTATAGCTTTAGCGCCATCGCTACAAATATTGATACATTTTTTTCAATCAATATCGTAGTACTTTCTAAAAACATATTGTATAAACACTGGCCAGTAGTGTTTGCAAGAACTGCTTTGCAAAATAAAATTTCTTCCCTGATACTGGTATCTGCTTCAAAGTGCACAAATACTAGAATAAATATACCAAAATAGGAAAAAAATAATTAACTAACGTATGTAGTCATTTAATTAAATAATTTTTTATGGCTTTCTATGACACAGGGGGTCGCCAGAATATTTCAACCTGTAAAGAGGTCGCGAAATCAAAAAAGATTGAAACACACTGGTCTAGAAGATCTGCTCCTCACATCTGCAACCTTCTTTAGTTACCTATTCTTAAATTCGTCAAATATGAGAATTATAGTAAATTAGTACTGTATTTACAGAGAAACCAAATCCAAAAATCCAAAACTTAAACTCGACAAATGAAAAACTTATTAGAAGATCTAGTGAGTCATCGACCAAAACTGGACTAATTTTAACAGAGTAAGAAGTCAGAGATTAGGGAGTAGTAAATCACATGATATTTGTCCGTTGTATGGTAACTATTAAAAAATATGTATATTTTTAGTTCTGAAGTGGAAATTCATGTTTGTGATGAAGTAAAGAGCATGAAAAAAAACTTTCATATGTAAACCAGAAACTTTTGGTGGAGAAAATGGGATATTTCGCAGAAGTTACATTAGGTAAGATATTTAATTTTGGATAAAATAATAAGATAATGCCTACATACACACATGGCCAAAATTATTGCATATAACGATATTTTTATTTTATTTTAGACCTAATATAATTCTTTTTATATTTTTGGACATATTGGCTTACTACACGTCTAACTAATATAAAATTAAAAATCTAAGTGCAACTAGGCTGTTATTATAATTTTATTTCATAATGAGTGAAAATCAACAAAAACAAATTTCATTTTAAACAGAAAATATTGAAAACAATTTTAATTATTTCTCACAACTAATAGTCTGTATTGCCTCTCGAGCCTCAATGCAAGCTGTGAGACGACGTGGCATGCTCTCAATTAAGTTGTCCAGAAGATGTCTGAATTTGCAGATGATGGAATGGCTTCCCATGTTTCGCGCGCAGCAATTTTCAATTCATTTAAGGTACGGGGGGGGTTATTCCGGTTGGCAATATGGCGTTTTAGCATGTCCAAAGCATGCTCAATCACATTCATACCTGGAGACATCGGTGGCCACCACAGTTTTCTTATACCCTCTTCCTCACAAAATTCGCGAACCGCTAAAGTGCGATGGGGAGGAGCATCATCGTCCATGTAAACAAATTCATCCCCCACTGCCTCTCGAAATGAACGCACAATAGGCTCTAAAACGTCTCTAAGATATGAGGCACCTGTCATTGTGCCATCAATAAAAACAAGAGGAGTTCGAGCTCCGTGTATTATACCTGCCCATGCCATAATGCTGCCCCCTTGAAACGGGGCACGGGGTTGAGCTGCATTCAAGCGTGCTCGTCTTCCAGATGCTTTCCAGACCAAAGTTCGTCGCGAGTCTGACACTAGGCCTATTCTCGTTTCATCACTAAACATGACGGTCCAATTAGGTCCATTTGCTATATCCTCAGCCCATTGTAGTCGCATAATTTTGTGCTGTAAATAAAGCTTCGGAACACTTTACTCCTTAAATGTAATCCTCTGTCATGGAGTCTTCTTGCTATGGCCTTTCTTGAAACATTTACTCCTTCAAGGCGAGCTAACTCGTTTTTAATAGCAGTACTAGAAAGCAGGGGATTACGTCGTGCCATTAGGGATATTTGACGGCCTTGCACAGCAGTAGTAACTGAGTAACTCTCTTTCTGCCTCGTCCAGGCCGGTCTGTGTCTGTAACCTCGTTTGTCTCCTTGATTTTTTTTAATATTCGCGAAATATCGCTTTGGTTAGCTCCTACAATTTTAGCTATTGTAACTTGCCGGTAGCCCTGTTGAGACAGTGTTACTATTCTGACTCTATTAAACTGTGTAATAATATTTCTAGGCATTTTAAGGCCAAAACAATGGTCAAATTTCTTCTGAAACCCAAGAGACCACAAATCGAAATGTGCAAGAATTTGTAATAATATTGGGTCTGAACAGGGTCTGAACGATAAACATTGTTTACCATATCCGTTTTAGCAAAAAAATGTTTATTACAGATTATCAAAGCTATGAATAAAAAAAGATTCTTTAAATTCCTTTCAGTATATTTTTAAACGATATATGCAATAATTTTGGCCATGTGTGTATATATCGTAGTCTCATAGTGTATTCCGTCTTTTCATGAAGATCCTAGGTCACTTCATAAAGCGTCGTTTAGGTTAGGAGTTTAGTTTTATTAGGTTAGTTTTTTTCATTAAGTGACTAGGATCTTCATGAAAAGACGAAATACACTATGAGACTACGACATATATTTCATACCAATTAAACTTTTAGTTACGTAATCAAGGGTGCGATTTTTAAATACTTTGTTGCCAACCATGGACATATTCGCGCTGGGGATTCAGGTGCGGTAGCTCTGTTGTAAGAAATGTCAAATTTCCGCATTTATTTATTTATTTCCTGACATTGTCATTCATTTTGGCACTTTAGTTTTCTATTACGAGTTTTTAGTTTAAATAAATACTGTTGTGATACTTTAAGCTTAAAATGTTTACTAGCAGACCTTGTAGACGAACATTGTTCTTTTTAGAACCTCTTTTAGTGCGAAATGCACAAGATAGCTTAAAAGCCGTAAAAAAATCATCACAACTTTAATAGAATATTATTACTAGAATATTATTTACTATTAATAGCCCTTTATGTCCCTTAAGTGCTGTTAAGAATGTGGGTTTTGTTGATGTAAATAATATCTGTTTATATATTTATAATTAAATTATTTTTGTTTCCTAAAATATTTTGATTAAAAGAAAATAAATAAAAGTGGGCAACGCTGTGCCTGTCAAGCTTAATCACGTGACTAAAAGTTTATTTGGTATGAACTGTATAAAAGTGGCAAACTTTTCCAATAACTCAAAATTCAATTATTTTATTACTTTGCAGTAATAATATACAGCTCACTAAAAAAGCAATCTTGGTTTGGCATCAGTCTTTTTTATAATTAACGTTATATAATTTTTTTCGAAGGTCAGAAACTGGAAGACATGGATATTTCCGTTCACTGTGATATCGGCATATTCGAGTGGTTGATGCAGTGGGTTAAGAAAGAGTCAGTGCTCGAAGCAGATTGGCCTCAACTGGATGCCCAGTGCGTTGTTCCCATTTTAGTATCGGCAGCATTTTTACAAATGGAACCTCTTTTACAAGATTGCCTTTTATATTGTCATCAGCACATGAATGAGATATTAAGAAGTTCTGCTAATTTGAGTTGTCTGAACGATACGGTTCTAACAAGGTTAGATAATCTTAGATTCATTCCCACAGCATCAAAAAACTGTCTAAAATAGTTAACCGAATTAGTGATCTATGTTTTTTTGTATACGACATATCTATGACTTGGTGTGATCAGCTACATTTGACAAGTTTCTGACCGGTTTGGATGCTTGTGGGAACAATTAACTAATTAATTTGGTAACTAATTTTGTATATAATTGTTATACAAGGTGACTATCATCAATTTCACTTCAAATATGCGCACATAGTGCACACACATTTTTTTTATAAGAACTGCTATAAAAACGCCGAACTTTGTGCCAAACGAGAATATTTAATCGGTCAATATTCCAATCGGCAGACTAAGCAAGACGGCAAGCGCAAGTCCGCAAACCAAAATACAAGAGTTTCAATACGTCACAGGCCTAGAGACTAAATCCGCAGGTCGAGTCCGCAGGCCAAATCTAGTTATGCCCCTGTACACGAGAAGGTATCTAAAGGTGCGTCCAGACCTAGAAGTAAAGTGCGTCTGTTGGATCTGTGTCTATGAAAGGAATGCGGACAAAAAACATTTAAATAAACAGCAATATATTTTATACGTCGACCTGACGAGTACGTCACCGCAAATCGCTCCGCCCACTTATTTTATAGGCTATTTGCAAAGTTGTCGAATTTTTATTGATGGGACGCGTCCTCTAATTTTTTACGAAAAACATCGAGAAAATATCGTTTCCCCTCTCACGGATACCCCGTAGCTATAGAACGGACAGACGTACTGTAAGCATATTTAGAAAGTATATATTTATTTTTTTTTGGTTGGAACTTTTATTGTGGGTATCGTCAAAAGTCGTAATAGTTGCTAATTAAGTAATAATCAACACTGTCCCGCTTTTTCATTATGAGGATCTGTCAACCCTGCTTGTATGTTGCTAAAATTGTATTGTTTATGTCCAGACTTCTTTTAAAATTTGAATCGTTCTTTTCAAAAAATGACGTAACTCGAAACAGTGGGACGTAACTTTGAGGAATAGTGACAAAAAATTGTTCGACGTAACTCGAAACGACGTAAATCGAGGACTGCCTGTAGTTCAATTTGTTTAAAGAAATGTTAGATTTCGGTATGGTAAAAATTATCAGTGACACAATTCTATAAAAAAAATATAATATATACGGTGTGCCGTTTAAAAAATTTGAGATTATTTAATTTTAAATAGTCGAAATTCACAAATCGGAGCTAATATCTCACAGTCGATCGAGCCTACCAAAACCACGTCCACACTGTGACGCGAGTTTTCTTTGATTGGCCGTCGCAAAACCGACAGAGAATGGATAGCAACGAGGCTCCGTAGGTTGTCTCGCGAGGCCACAGACCCGTCCACACTTAGCGAATTTAGAATGTCTCGTGCTCGTCTCGCTCTCGTCTCGTCATCAGGTCTGGACGCACCTTAAGTCCTCCGACTTAGATACCTACCGTTTATTTTTTAAAGGTTGGCAGCAATGTATACGAACAGTGAAATCGAATCCATCAAAGACAGAAAAGATAAAATCCAATCGAAACTTTTTGCAAAACTAATTCAGTCACTGGCTGAACCTGATCCTGAAAGCGTTAGAGGACATTGGTGCTCATTAGCAAGGATATTCAGGTTTGTTCTTATATAAGATTAATATCAATCAAACATTTATTACATTTACATATTTATCCATTATTAGGTGTGAAAGGTGTTACCAACTGATAAATCCAAACGTAGCATCCAAAATACCTTGTACACCTTCTTGTATGAGGCTTGAACCTGATGGTTCCATTATTAGTTTACATATCAGGTAATAGTTATTTACAGTACAAGTGTGTTTATGAACATGATTATAACAACGAGTGTGAACGATTAGAACGACGAGGTCGTGTGATTAGAACGATTCGTTAATTCGATTCAGTGTTGTAATCATGTTTAAACGCACGTGTCATGTACAACGTTTTATCTACAACCGAAAAATAAGAAAATGCTGTTTTAATTTTCGTCTATTAGTCGCCCACCTTCAACACCTTTAACTATGACATTTGTCACATTTTTTTCTGAAAAGTCAGTTTGCCCTGTCAAGTAAACGCGAGCACTTTTTGCCCAGAAAAATCATTTTAAAAATTACGATGAGCGATTCCCAAAGTCTCCCTTCAGATGTAGAAGTTGCCGCAGTACGTGCCACGGAAACATTATTGCCGGAAAAGTTAATGTATTTAGATGTTCGTAGTTGTTTTTCATTATTATAGCAACTAGTTGTGTTATAGATTCATAACACCACTAGTTGTGTTATGAATCTGATAATGTAACTGAAATATAGTCTATAAAATGAATACCTTTGAATTTTGACCGTTTTTTTTACCAACATGGCAAATATAAAATCTCTCTGACAAAACAGTTACTGATATTCTTTAAATTGAGTGCCTAAACGAATCAGATAGGTAACTCGTGAAATAGAAAAGGAAAATAATAAACCAAGTGACAGTTCTTCCACTTCTTGCAAAAATCAACACGAAATGTCATAATTATCAAAAGTAAACTTTCATCAGCTTTTGACATTTCTAAATATCAGATCAATGCCGTCTCTAATAGAACAGCCTCGGAGCGATATTTATGACAACACGCTAGTTAGATACTACGGATTAATAAATTTAATTAAGTAATTTTTTGGATTATATTCGACACTATTTTTTTCATATGACACAACACTGATGAAGACTATAATGTTAGTCGAAACGTTTTTTTTTAACCAAAAAAAAATAATGAAAACCCAAATAAAAACTTAATTAGCGTTTTCCCCGAACCTAAATCCCAAGAAAATCTAACATTTTAGAATAATTTTACATATAAAATGACGATCTTTATTTCATATCCATCGCTGACTCCTTTTTTTCTATGATATTGTATTATTTGCAAATATAATTTTTCGAACATTGATACTTGCAAAATATACATATAAATTTTGTGAATGCAAATAATAATACATCACTATTAGTAGATAGTGAATGTTTTTTGTTAAATTAGATCAATTTTCAAACCCCAAAATTTAAAATATATTTTACATTTTACCCATTATCTTATGTACCTATTCATTATTTGTATATTCTAACAGATTTGCTGCATGGTTCATAGTTTATTTGCCAAAATATTTATTACTATAAATAGGTATATATATTGTATTTACTAACTGTATATTATATATATTTCATGTAAACTATATCATTTTTAAAATACAAACCAAAAATACGAGGAATAATTATGTTTTCCATATATTCTACAACATATTTATTAATCCGTAGTACCTATCTAACTAGCGTGACGTCATAAATCTCGTTCCGAGGCTGTTCTATTAGAGACGGCATTGCGTCAGCATGGCTGCAAGTTGCTAACCTAATAAAATTAACACTAGATAAACCCGCGGGAACTGTCAAATTCAAAGTTATTCGTTTCACAGACTATACTAAAAAAATAGTGATGTAAAAACGTTATAACTAAACGGTTGTAGATAAAATATGTTACTATGTTTTGTACTAAGTATGTATATTAAATATATTCAAAGAAAATTTAAGATGCTTCTAATTGTCAATCATAAAAATTCAGGGCTAGTATTATAGTCCAAAAATTCAATTGTAATTAATAATTCAAATATAAGAAATTTGGCATTATATTCAAATACAATAATACCGTATGATCGAATAAAAACGGCGTCAGCGATGGCTATGAAATGAAGATCGCTGTCATTTTATATGTAAAATTATATGGGAAATGTCATCGATCGTCATTTCCAAGCCAACTGGACGCCATTTTTTTTTTTCGATCATACGGTACATCATGTATTTTAGAATATATGTTTTTTTCCTTTTCCTTAGAGACTCATCATGGGATATAAACGCTTATATTCTAGAATTAAAACAAACCCTTAAAACCTGGAGAAAAGTATATTGGAAATTATGGGGAGACTGTCATTTTCTATTCTGCAGTGTCTGTAAGAGGTATGCATTAATATTTAAAAAAGTTACCTACCCACGAAATTGTATCTAGTATAAAAACTAATTTATATTAATTTTCTTCATAAGATATTTTCAAGTTAATCAAATTGGCTGGTGCAGATATCATCCGGATACGCCACAGTTTTTTACTCTGGATGCTCAAAGAGCTCCTCTGCCTATTGGACGTTTCCCTTGCTGTGGAGATCGAGCTTACAGGTTATCCATTAATTTATTTAAGTTTTTTTTTTATTAAATTAAGGTTGATTCTCAGTTAGGCTTCACTTAGACCTGGCTAAAGCCGGTCCCACACGATGTGTGAAACACCTTCCAACGTTGGACACAATGATGAACATTTGCCACATCGTGTAAGAGACACGCTTATGAACTGCAATATTGTCTAAGCCTATGCCAAATTGCCAAATGGTGCGTCCAACACAAGGTTGCTATATTAAACAGGTTGCCTCGTAACTTTTAGACCAATAGGAGCGAAACTGCAACTACATCACAGGGATGCTACAGAACGTATAAAATCGTAGGATTAAGGAATAAAAAATAAAATGCAACCGACAAAGAGAGATAAATGGTCAATACAATAAAGAAAACACACATCAAACAACTGAAAACTATGGACGCCATACACTATAAACAATAAAGTACACAATGAATATCGATTCGGAAATGCATTGTCGGTCTGTCGGCAGTTTTTATCCCTTTATCAGAGTGGTAGCATTCCTATGACGTAGTAGATGACGTTTCCGATAATGGCGGATCGAGTTACGAGACAACCTTATCTTTTAATAACCTTGCGTCCAACATTGATTGTGAAGCATCGTGTAGGACCAACTTAAGCGACGAAATGCCGTGTTGCAAAGTGTAGTAATACCAGACACACACGTTCCAGTATACTGGAACGTATGTCGGAAGATTTTTGCGCAAGTATCAAGACTATTACTTTATTTTTATTCTTTCAATATTTATTTAAAACTTGAAAGACTTCTAAAGAGTCGAGCCAAGTGTAGGCACAAAAATGTGAATAGACCTTTACTCTCCGTAAAATTTTACATATAGGCTTTCTTATAGATTTCAGTTATTAGAAAATAACACTGGTTGTCAGTTTAAACAACACATAGTGAACCTTGAGGATGTCAGACATTCTGCAATTTTTACTATGTTAGAAAATTACAGGCATATATTGGAAGAAGAACCGCCTCAACTGTTATTTCCAGAAAGACTCACGCGACTCGTCGCTAGAGGTAAGTTTTAAAAAAAAGAGTCTATTTTTTTTAATTACTATATTATATTGAAAAAATGAACATAATAATTGTTATAAATATGGACTAATTTATTTGGAGTTTGGCAGAATACAAACACTTTTACCAAAATTAAAAATTTCTGTGAAATTTAAAATAAAAATTTTATTTATGTATTCAGTATTCTCAAACACACTGTATATATCATATTAATTCTTTTTCCTTAAACAAAGGATCTGTATTTTCATTCTAGCTTTACACTGTCTTAATATATCCTCCACAATAATACTGTCCGTCCTGTCCAAAGGCGGAATAACATCCAGAGCTTCCTGAAAATATTTCCTAGCCTTCTCCGTGCTATAACTTTCCAGAATATCCTGAAGGGCACTTATATCCGCCCTAGCTTGCACCGCACCTTCTCGCGAAAACTTCTGCACGCACGACATTAACCTGTAGATTTCTTCAGCTACTGTTTCCACCACCTGCGGCAACACTGCGTTTAAGAGCGACGGCGATATATGGATGATCTCAGAATGGACGCATATAAGATTATTTATGCATTCCTTAACGTAGGGCCTGATGTCTGAAGGGGGTACAGTCAAATGCCAGTCGAAACGACCCAAATACATCGACGGTTCAATTGTTCCGACTAACGGATCGCTTTTCTGTTCTAAATATTTATCTAAAATCGATTTTTCTAGATGTTCTAAGTTAGCTTTTGCATGGTTTAGAGAGCCGTGTAACGGTGGAAAACCACTCTCTTGGAATTTGTTAGCAATCATTTTTAAAACAGTTTCTTTAGTAAAGAGACAATTGGATAATGAAATTAACAGTCTATGTTCCCATATAGGTATATCGCTTTTGCTCCCCGTTTTGTGAGAACTTACAGGGGTACCAATTAACTGAGAGACAACAGGTACACCATTTTGACATTCATCATAATCTTCACTAGAAGATAAATTGTTTAAAACGTTGTAAAAAGCAGTTAAAATATTGTTTAGCTGTTTTTCCATTTCTCTATATGCTGTCTGATTGTCCAACAAGCTTACCTATCCTTGCTCTATACACAGTACACTCTCTTTAACTACCTCGATCATATTTTCAATTAAATTCAAAAATTGTATAGGTAATTCGGTAACACCAGTGTATTTTCCGTTATAGTTAACCCTCCAATTTTCTGTAAGCTGTTTAACATGCTCAGTAGTTTGTTGGAACATTATACTCATACAGTGTATCCTCAAGTCTAATAGTAAAAGACTTATTATATCCAGTGCTTCGTTAGGTAAGTCTAATTTGATGAAGGACGCATATGTTGATCTTACAGACTGTAATAATTCTGGAAGGTAAACAGAAATTTCGTCGCGTTTAGGAAGGGTTAGTGTTTCAATTTGACTTCTATCAGTTTTATCCAGAGTTTTTGGTATCAAACTAGCTCGTGTATACCTGCAGGAAACGTCTAAAAATATTACTGCATAGTAAGTGAGATATCACAACTAATTTGCATTCTAAACAACTTTGCATATTTTAAAAAAATCGACTACAAGGGTAACCTTGAACAAATTTTATATTTTTGAAAGTCCCCCGTATTGTAAATAAAATACTTCAATTTCAATATGGACTGGTTTATTTGAATAATAATTAAAAGTTAATTTAAAATAAAAATTTTATTAATGTATTCAGTATTCTCAAACATATTGTATATATAATATTAGTTCTTTTTTCTTAAACAAAGGATCTGTATTTTCATTCTGGCTTTACACTGCCTCAATATATCCTCCACAATAATACTGTCCGTCCTGTCCAAAGGCGGAATAACATCCAGAGCTTCCTGAAAATATTTCCTAGCCTTTTCCGTGCTATAACTTTCAAGAATATCCTGAAGAGCACTTATATCCGCCCTAGCTTGCACCGCACCTTCTCGCGAAAACTTCTGCACGCACGACATTAACCTGTAGATTTCTTCAGCTACTGTTTCCACCACCTGCGGCAACACTGCGTTTAAGAGCGACGGCGATATATGGATAATCTCAGAATGGACGCATATAAGATTATTTATGCATTCCTTAATGTAGGGCCTGATGTCTGAAGGGGGTACAGTCAAATGCCAGTCGAAACGACCCAAATACATCGACGGTTCAATTGTTCCGACTAACGGATCGCTTTTCTGTTCTAAATATTTATCTAAAATCGATTTTTCTAGATGTTCTAAGTTAGCTTTTGCATGGTTTAGAGAGCCGTGTAACGGTGGAAAACCACTCTCTTGGAATTTGTTAGCAATCATTTTTAAAACAGTTTCTTTAGTAAAGAGACAATTGGATAATGAAATTAAGAGTCTATGTTCCCATATAGGTATATCGCTTTTGCTCCCCGTTTTGTGAGAACTTACAGGGGTACCAATTAACTGAGAGACAACAGGTACACCATTTTGACATTCATCATAATCTTCACTAGAAGATAAATTGTTTAAAACATTATAAAAAGCAGTTAAAATATTGTTTAGCTGTTTTTCCATTTCTTTATATGCTGTCTGATTGTCCAATAAGCTTACCTCTCTTTGCTCTATACACAGTACACTCTCTTTAACTACATCGATCATATTTTCAATTAAATTCAAAAATTGTATAGGTAATTCGGTAACACCTGTGTATTTTCCATTATAGTTAACCCTCCAATTTTCTGTAAGCTGTTTAACTTGCTCGGTGGTTTGTTGGAACATTATACTCATACAGTGTATCCTCAAGTCTAATAATAAAAGACTTATTATATCCAGTGCTTCGTTAGGTAAGTCTAATTTGATGAAGGACGCATATGTTGATCTTACAGACTGTAATAATTCTGGAAGGTAAACAGCAATTTCGTCGCGTTCAGGAAGGGTTAGTGTTCCAATTTGATTTCTATCAGTTTTATCCAGAGTGGTTGGTATCAAACTAGCCCGTATACACTTGCAGAAAACCTCTATAACGTTCATAACGATATATTTAAATTCTACTTGACGACCTGGCTCGACCTTAACCTGAAGTTCCCCGGAAAAGTATGCCTGTCCGATTTTCCACAGATCTGGAAAAGTCTCTGTGATGCTGAGGCATATTTCTTCGGTAAAATTCACGCTGGATGGAACTATCGTTATGTCGACGTTAGAGGTTTTGTTATATTTGGAATATTTCGATGCGCTTCCGTTTTTCGCTTTCGGGTCGGGTTTATCCAAGGACTTGTGGTAGTTGTGAATTAATTTAAACTTTTTGTTAATGTAATCTGAGCGTGCTTTGATAGCATCCCAGGCGCATTCGAATGGGGCCTCCAGATTTACTAGGTATCTGTAAAAAAATACAAAAAAGAAACAATAAATATAAATATAGCCAAATATAGCCAAATATCACAAGACAAATTAGCAAATAAAGTTGTAAAAAAATCTCAAACAAAATTTTGGGATTTTTTAATTTTAAATAGTCGAAATACATAAATTTATTTTGTACACCCTGTAGCTTCTACCTTAAATATTTTTACATGCATCTTTATCTTAATCCCTATAAAACTCTTCTACCAAATTTGAGTACTCCAACTTCAAAAACAATAGCGCTACTGACAATTTTTTACTATTCTAGTATTTTTATTTTTTGTAGCCCCAATTTTGCAATTTGGTACAATGGTTTAGTCGGTTTTAGGCCAGTTTGTTTAAGAACCAACTAAAACAATTGTATCAATTTTTTTTACTATATTGAAATCTATTTTTTTAAATAAATTGAATATTACAATAATTAACTAATTTTAGATACATTATACAGGGTGCCTCAAAAAACATGTGCCATCTCTCGTGAGGAAATTCTTCACGTAAAAATAAGATTTCTTTTTCATATCAACATTTTTCCGATTCTGCTTTGTTTCGTAGCTACAGGGTGTTAAAGTCTTAATAATCTTTCGATTTATTATAATTTTCTTCCAAGTACTTTCAGTGATTCGAATAAAATTTTGAGGGTAAGAGTTACATATTTTAATGCTAAAAAAGTGTCGATAAATTAATCAGGGACGTGCATATGGGTTATCACTCGAATATTTTTCTAAAAAAAAACATGTACGCCACTGACTTTTTTTCTGTTGTTTTAAGTCTATGGTTATTAGCCAAATAGTGTAAGCAGTTTAATGCCGATTAAAAGTTGTCTCTTGATATTTTGTCGATTTCGGCCTCCTTAATGAGATAAACGCAATTTTATTAATTTTCCTTGATCCAAGTCTAATAGCAACCTTTAAAAAATGTTAATGTTTAGTTTTTTGTAATTATCTTAAATAACATTATTTTTTTATTTGAAATTGCTGTAGGTTCGACTAATAGTAATAATAACTAAGTAATAATATTTAATAATAAATTAGGTAAAATATATAATAAATAAATAAATAAATAATATCTTTATTCATCCTTGAAATTATATAAACAGATATTACAATATTATTTCAAACAATGTAATATTCATAAAAATACAATATACAATAATGATATACAGAAATGGTAATATTTACATAAGTATCTGACAGCATAGTTTAGTATAATAATCACCTAAAATTGTTTCTTATTAAAATAATGATACCATCCACACATCACCTAACTATTTTTTTTTTGTCAGAGAATGAGATTTTTGAAGTATTGTAGATTTCAATTTTGATTTGCTTTGTAAATATTTTGATATTTAACACAATATTAAGAACGCGAATCTAATCTCATTTGTTTGAAAATACATTTTTACATTCATTATTACACTACTAGCTCAAGTAGCACCTAGCTAACTAAATAGCTGTATGTGCAAAATGTAATAATTATAACAGTATTACTTATATTTTAAAACATTCGAGCAATATCAAACAGTCCAAGCAATCACAAAGAACCCAACAATTACCAAGAAGGAAAAAAAAAATTATTTCCAGAAGAAACCCTCCAACTGCCTACAATTTTCATAAACAAACTCTTTGCATAAATTTTTAAATGTTTTTTCTTTAGCGGTGTTTCTAATATTCGTTGGAAGCATATTATAAAGTTTAGGGCCAATATAACTCAGGTATTTCTAATTTAAGTTGTTGCTACTCACTGGTAATTGCAGATTATTAGTTAAATTAGCCCGAGTTATATAATTGTGATTAATGCGATTCAATTTTTTTTTGTTAATATGAATATAATTTATTAATTTTATTTTAAATTTAATTTTATTAATAATTGTAATTAATAAAATTGCATTTATCTCATCAAGGAGGCCGAATTCGGCAAAATATCAAGAGATAACTTTTAATTGGCATTAAACGGCCTACACAATTTTGATATCAAAAGAAAAAGTCAGTAGCGCACATTTTTTTTTTAAATTTTCCAGTGATAATCCATATGCACGCCCCTGATGAATTTATCGACACTTTTTTAGCATTAAAATATGCAGCACTTATAGTAACCTTTAACACTCAAAATTTCATTCGAATCATTAAAAGTACTTTGACGAAAATTATAATAAATCACATGATTATTAAGACTTTAACACGCTACAACGTTAAAGAAACAAAGCAGAATCGGACCTATGTTGATATGAAAAATAAATCTTATTTTTAAGTGAGAAATCTCCCTACGAGAGATGGCACATGTTTTTTAAAACCACCCTGTATTTAAAAAAGTGTATATTATGTGCCACACATTTTTCAAGCACCCTGTATACTAAAACTAATTTTAACTTGTGTATATTGTTAATATTCCCTAAACATTTCTATTTAGCATTTTTTCGTAATTCTCAAAACAAAGGAGATAATGATGTTTTTTTCCTCACGGGTCTCGGCCTTGAATTTTTACTACCATTGCGCGTAAAGAAGGTTCACTTCAAAATATTGTTTCAAAAAAAAATTCTAAATGCTATCTAGAGAAAATGAGTATCATCATACCTTATGAGACGTTTCTGTTGTTCAACAGTGATAGGCATCGTTTGTAGATCTTCGTGCAATTTTTTCTGCAAATCAATTATCCTTTTTTCCACCTCGTTCAAAGCCATTTTAAATATCGGTACATCGGTTTTATAAAACAGATTCTTAACCCTAATGTAATCATTTATCACTATATCATAATCACCTTTTTTTACGTTTCTGTCTATAACACAAGGCAGACAGAACAGAAAACGAAACCTGAAAATATAAAAAATAGATATTTCTTATGGTATAATACCATATGATTGAAAAAAAACGGCGTCTGACTTGACCTCGCCAAAATTATCATTGATTGTAATTCCCAGCCGTCCTTGACACCGTTTTTTTTATTGTATGGTACTAAGGAGAAAAAAATACCTGGAGAGCACATTTAAAGCGTTTCTAGTTTTCTCCGCTCGGTCTTTCCGACTCAAAACTTCATCAAATAATTTTCTAGCTTTGTGTTCCGATTCTTTAATGGCTTTTTCTAACTTCAGAGTCGGTTCATGTCCAAATTTAGGTAAGTCAGTTTCGTAACTTTCTCTTAAATTAACTAATGTATCTATCTGATCCATTACAGCGCTAATATTCGCCTTTAAAAAAGATAACTGCCCTTCTTTTTGTCCTTGGACTTTTCTTCGTAAATGTACTAGACCTAAATAACATTTATTTTTAAATAGCTATGAACCATATTATAATATATATTATATACCAGCTTGTAGGTCATTAAAGCTTGTTGTTTGATGATTTTCTAACAAAAACCACCTAGGCGAAAAATTACTACTTGTAATATCCCCACTTTTGTTAGGAAAGTAATTTAACAAATCTTCTTCAGGTACTTTCTTTTCTGAGTCCTCAACTGACAATCCTAATGGGTCTTCTTGTTGATAACTACTGGGAGACAAAGAATGTCGACCCCATGAATATAGATCTGTTTCGTCAACCTATTTTTCAAATTAAAAAACAGAAAATTGGACAAAATAATAGACTAAAAACAGAAAACTTATTGATGCTTACCCATACAGCACTTTCTTTCATAGGACCAATCGTTGCAATGTGATACCCTTTAAATGTAACGTTACAAGATCCTAATCCTCCTGACTTTGTCGTTACTATAACATCGCCTTTTCCCTTTATGGGTCCGGATATTGCGATAATTTTATTTTCGGACTTCCATTCTGCGGCTAAAAGGCAGTCCACGCCACAAATTGTAAGCCCAATTAGATCTTGGGGCGATTTTCCTAGATGTTCACCCCTTATTTTGATTCTTGTTCCTGGTGGACCTTCATTCGGTGACAAGCCCGTAACGATCGGGGGTGGACCCATATTTTGTGTTGTTTAATTAAATATTATTATCTTTTTACAAACTCTTTCCAAAATAATTCTTTATTAAATAGTTTTTATTAGTAATTTCTTGTAAATATTTATTTGTCAGTCATTTAAATTTTGACAATCAGCTGAGAATTGTCAAATCTGAACTATGCAACCTGAAAAACAGCTATGTATTTATAGTTGCAGAGTTATGAGGGTAAAGTACGGGTAAAGTTTTTTCACTAATAAAAATAAATAGAATAGGAAATGATGAATATAAAATAGTAATAAACAAACGTCCATTGACCATGTTAATAAATATCCTCCAATGAGGGATTAAAATTAAAAGGCACTTATCCTTACAAACTTATGTTAAATCAGAATTATTAAATATATTTTTTATTTTTTTTTTACAATGACGCTGGAGGCGGGCACTTTTCGAGACTGTTACGTCTCATTATAAGGCCACAATAAAGCCCTAAGCTAAAATAGCAACAAAAAAAATCGAATTTTCTCCATCTAACAAAATAAAAATATACAAGGTGTTTCATTTTCCATTTAAAAAAACAAAGAAAAATGATTTTATATTTTAGAAAGTTTGGCGTAGAATTTTGAACACCCTGTATGATTCAAGATTACAAAATGTATACAAAGTTAAGTATATAGACCATCTAAAGTAAATACCTAATATAGTTTTGATTTCAGGACAATTTTTGTATTTGTAATAATTTTTTAAGAAAGGTTGAAAAATATATATTTTTTAATTTTTTATCTATTTATATCCCTGAAACTATCGAAATATATTTATCTTAGGATTATGTAAAGTGATCTGCAAAGGAAGCCAAAAATGCAATAATTTACAGCGTGTTCCGTTTAAAAAAAAATCATCCCAATCCACTCACACTTTTTTGAGCCACGCTATAGAAGTTAAAATGCTTTCCTGAAATACATCCTCGTACATACTTTAGGTTTGCACTTAAATAAAATTCCAATTTTTTATTCTAAAAGCTATACAGATGCCCGAGGCACTATTGCCGGAGCCTGTAGAGTATATATACCGGGTGCGTCTCAAAAGTGGCTCATCCCCTATAACTGTTTTATTTTATCAGATAAAAAAACGAAATTTGGTATGTTAGTATATGACATAAATTAGGATTGACTGACGTATTCAATTCTTTTCGGTCACTTCCTGTTTCACCGGAAATATCTGCAATTTTTTATTTTTAAATGGCACCCTCGGTATATTTTTACTTTATTCGATAAACTTTTAATTTTTAAATGGGACCCTCGATATTTTTTTACATTATTCGATAGACAATGACATTCTGAATAGAATGACATATCATATGTCAACTTTTGACATTTTTACTTAAAACAAAATTGAATTTTAAATTTCAATCTAGAATGCCACGGCTGTGTTAAAAACACTAATGTTTAATCAAGGAGCCTTGTAAAAATAGATTTGATCGTCTAATGTTATTCGTGTATTGTCCTGGCTGATTAAAAGATGCCCAAATCGTATTTTTAATCATATCTCAATTTTTTCAAATGGAACAATAGGGTGGCTCATGAGTATATTTGGAAAAAACAATTTTTTACGAATAATTTGATACCACACACTTTGTATTTCGAGTCAAATTGTCGTTATGAATGCCTGTTGCAATTTCAATTAAACCATATTCGAAAAAGTCAAAATTGACATATGATATGTCATTCTATTCAGAGTGTCATTTTCTATCAAATAAAGCAACAAACCACCGAGGGTACCATTTAAAAATCAAAAGTTGTAGTCATTTCCGGCGAAACAGGAAGTGACAGAAAACAGTTGAATACGTCAATCAATCCTAATTTATATTATATACTAACATACCAAATCTCGATTCTTTATTAGAAAAAATAAAAAAGTTATAGGGGTGAGCCACTTTTGAGACGCACCCGGAATACCGTATGATCGAAAAAAACCGGCGTCCAATTGGCTGGGAATTGACGATCGATGACATTTCCCATATAAATATACATATAAAATGACAGCGATCTTCATTTCATAGCCATCGCCGACGCCGTATTTTTTTTCGATCATACGTACGGTACTTATTCATTAAAATTATCTAATAAATTATTATTTTTGGTTCCAAAAAACAGATTCCATAACCAATTCAGAGAAATTCGTTTGCAAAGAACTTTTTTGGTGGGACGGATTTGAAATTATTCCTACTCGTCCAAAATTGGGACTGCTGAGTTGCTTCGCGAGCAGAGTGTCAGACGAGCTGGATTCTTTAATTTCCGATGAAAGTACAACAGAAGAATTTACAGAAGAGGAGACAATTTCTTCTGTGTCGATGGGAAGTGAAGAATGCAGCGACGAAAGTAATCCACCTCCAAAAAAGGTATGCTCTTTACCTCTATACAGGATGTTTTAAAAATAAGCGCGAAAAATTTTAAGGAATGATTCCTTGGTGAAGGGTAATTTCGTAGTTTGTTATACAGGGTGAGTCTTAAATAAGCGCTTAAATGAGTTCTTTTAGCGGAAAAAAAATGAAAATTTGGAATTTTTTTTATTAATTTTTAGTTAAAAAACGTAATATGTTATATGGTAATATGGCAATGTAAATAGTAGATTAAATTTACAAAAAAGTAAACCCCAAAAAGATCCAAATTTAAACAAAAAATCAATTTTTTGAAATTTCAAACTAAAATATGTATCTCGGTTATTTTGAACATATTTGAAAAAGGATAAAAAGAAAATATATGTTTCTTTTATCGAGAAAAACCAGCCCTGAAAATATTTGCACTTATTTAAGACTTACCCTGTATAATCGCTGAAAATCAAGCCCTATTTTTTGACTATTTAGGAAACACACTGTATATAACAACCATCAAGTTGATGCTTTCATTCTGAATTCTGATGCTTTTCAATCATATAGTATTTGACGTATCATCATATACCGGGTGCGTCTCAAAAGTGGCTCACCCCTATAACATTTTTATTTTTTCGGATAAAGAAACGAGATTTGGTATGTTATTATATGACATAAATTAGGATTGATTGACGTATTCAATTGTTTTTGGTCACTTCCTGTTTCACCGGAAATGACTGCAATTTTTTATTTTTAAATGGCACCCTCGGTATATTTTTACTTTATTCGATAGAAAATGACATTCTGAATAGAATGACATATCATATGTCAACTTTTGAGATTTTTGCTTAATAAGAAATCATGTTTTAAAATTCAATCTAGAGTGCCATGGGTTTGTTAAAAACACCAATTCTTAATCAAGGAGCCTTATAAAAATATATATGTCTTATGTTTTTAGTGTCTTGTCCTGGCCAGTTAGAAAATGCTTAAATCGTATTCTTAATCATATTCCAATTTTTTTTCAAATGGAGAGGGTGGCTCGTTAGCATATTTGGAAAAAGCGTTTTTTACGAATAATTTGATACCACACATTTGGTATTTCGAGTCAAATTTTCGTTACGAACCGCAAGTTATAATTTCAAATAAACCATATGGGAAAATGTCAAAACTTGGCATATCATATGTCATTCTATTCAGAGTGTTATTTTCTATCGAATAAAGTAAAAAAATAAAGAGCGTGCCATTTAAAAATCAAAAGTTATAGTCATTTCCGGTGAAACAGGGAGGACCGAAAACAATTGAATACGTCAATGAATCCTAATTTATGTCATATACTAACATACCAATTTATATAAATTTTTTAAGATAATTTATAATTTATATCTTGTTATATATAACTATATGTATACATATCTCTATATTTAGACTGTAACAAGAAAACCCAGAAAGCAAAACGAAGGCAGGCTTTGGCAATATAACTTATCTGCTCGAAGCAATCAAGATATTCAGAGGGCTTACGAAGAAGGCTTACTGAAAGAAGTGGCTATTCTTTTAGACAGAAATATTACCAGCAGTTCAGTAACCAGGAATACCAGAACAACTGGGAAGAATTTAACACCACTAGGTTTGATTTCCATAAGTATACCAGCGATCCACAATGACTAAAATAGTTGGCAATACATTTTTAGATTAGTGATTGCTATCAATACTAAAACAAATTGCCCAATGAAAAATTTTGGCAAATTATGTCAGTTCAATGAAGTCCACTTTTTTTACCTTATTTTACCCTGTTTCTTGTAAACTTACAAGTTTTGACTTGGTTATTTGTGAAATCGATATATTTTTCCAAGTAAAAAATATAATATCTATTGAGATAATTGCAAGACCTATTGCAAATACATCATATTTCTTCTTATAATTGACCCAATCTTTTGGAAAAACTATGTGAATATATTTTTCTAATTATTCACAAGTCAACTTGTGAGGGTGGATACCACGTTGTCTTCTAGCAAGCCAATAGAATGTGGAGTACCACAAGGTCCAGTACTAGGCCCTATTTTGTTTCTTCTTTTTATTAACGACATTGCTAACATAAACATCAGTGGTAAAATATGTCTTTTTGCGGATGACACTAGTTTCACTTGTAGCAACAAGGACGTCACGGCACTTCATAAGATTATATCAAATGACTTAATTACCATTAAATCTTGGTGCGATTCGAATCCTCTGAGTCTCAACCTTTCTAAAACTAAAGCTTTGTCGTATAAAAACTCGTTGCAGCCTTTTGTACTTAACAACACAACCATTGACGTCGTAAAATCATCATTTCTCTGAAATGGGACATGCATATCGACGCTCTGTCGAAAAAAATAAGCTCTGCCTGTTCTGCATTAAGATCTGTTCTAAGGAGCTTAACTTGTCAGTGGCTAGAACTGTTTATTATGCACTTTTTGAGTCACACCTCAGGTATGCCCTTCCATTCTGGGGTATGTGTTGTGCGACTCAATTTGACCGCATTTTCAAACTCCAGAAGAGAGCTGTTCGATATTCACTGGGACTAAACAGCAGAACTCATTGCAAGGACTTTTTTAAAAAATTAAAAATATTAACTCTTATTTATATTTGAATCCGTTTGCCTAATACGTAAGCATGTATCAGCTTCTCAAGAAAGGCCATCTCACACTTATCCACTCAGGAACGTGGAGCAGGATCTTTATCTACCTACCCCACGCTCAGAATTACTTAAAAGTTCAATATTATACAATTCGAAAAAAATGCAATCACCTGCCATTTGAAATCAAATCCATAACATCATTTTCTTCATTTCGCATTGAAATGTTATTTACTAGACAAGGCTTTCTAGCCGTAAATTACTTATATTTTGATAATCGAATTTGATCTTATAAACACTGGTCTATCGTTTGCTACGATATTTACCAGAGATCGAAATAATTTGTTTAGTGGTCATTGATATTTACTATGAACTAACTAAATATTTTTGAATATTATTTTTATTTTTTTATTCTTTGGCATTGTAAACATTTATAAATGTTTATTTTAAACAATAAGACTGACAATGTTATTTGTATGTTTTGTATTCTCTTTTGTTTGTTTGTTTGTTTACTTTACCTTTGTCTACAAATTGTAAAATTTTTTGACAATAAAGGCATTTATTTATTCGGTACATAACTAATATCACAAACTAAATAGGTTAGTCTATGCTAATACCGAACTATTTCAATCATTTAGGATCGCTTTGTGTTTAATAATTACCTTTATTGAAAATTCTTTTGTTTTAGGTGGGCTTTGGGTACGACTAGAATATGAATGGAAGGACACTTTAAATCAAAAGGAATTGCAGGCAAAAATGAAGAACGTTATTTCGAATAAGTTTTATAAACCGCGACCGAAGTTTTAATTCGAATTATTACTGAAATAAAAAAAAATATGATTTACATGTAAAAAAAATGTTTTTTATTTGGCAGTCTCGCATACAATTTTTTACAGATTTTCACGCTATAAATCATATACAGCTGTTTTGTAGTAGATACGTCGGCGTCATACACTGAAATCCGTCGTTCCCCGAAATGACTAGTCGTTTCACATATTGCCGGCAAAACAGTTTCTGTCTAAATCTTTTCTGCCTTAAAAGTTTTCATGCGATATTTCAATGCAAATTAAAAGGGCTAACGCACACTGATTAGTAGCGAGGTTTAAGACAGGTTTAGGCTCGTTTAGTCACACCCTCTTCAATTGGTACATCGTCTGACGGCAGATCTCACGCATTCCCTGTAATGACGGAATTATTTCAGTGAAACGCCGTAATCAATTGAATCATTCCAGTTTCCCTGTTTGTCGGTTGTAGTCAATAAAAGTATTTATCGTTCTATTTTTCATTGCATTTTATGTGCATTGCTATTTCATTGCATTTTATGTGCAAGTAGGCAATATTTAAACTTAAGTTACAAGAAATTAGATGAATATTGTTTAAATGAAAATTTAAAAAATTTTTTTTAATTTTTTTTTAATTTGAAAAAAGTTTTCAAGCATAACCTCAAACTACTGCAACCTACAATCACGTTTTCAATTCACACACTGTTGTCACATTTAACACGGCTTAAAATAGAGTACATAATAATACATACATACGTAATATAGAGACATTATGTAAATAGCGATTCCTAAAGTTTGGTTACATCTACTGATTTTATTATTAGAAATTGAAAAAACTAATTTATGACAATTTTATCACTCAAATTTATTTTATCCTTTTTTTAGTTTTCAGTTCGTTACTTTTTGTGTTCTATGAATTGTATATTCTTTATTTATTGTATGTTTGGTTCTAGTACAAACCGTTTTGATAATAATAAACACCGTATGATCTATGAAATGAAGATCTCTGTCATTGCATGTAAAATTATATAGGGAATCGTGTCGATTGTTATTTCCAAGCCAACTGGACGCCGCTTTTTTTCGAACATATGGTATAATATGAGTATATGTTTTTAAATTTAATACCTGTTCCTCCAAATTCAATACATCCAGTTTTCGGTTACAAAAACTAGAAATCTTTCTTAAATACCGAAATTAAGGAAAATACCTTACTTCGATGCACTAAATGGCAACACTGTCTGAAGCTCAATAATCGCCTAAAATCGGCAAACAAAGTCAAGTTAATTTCTGCGTTTTGACTGAAATATACCGTCATTACAGGGAACGACTGAGATCCACAGACAATTGCGAGTTTGTCGGTTTGTCAATACGTGAATTGACTAGGCATTTCAGGAAATAAAAAATAAATAAACACCGACAGATACAATGCTTGGAAGTTATGATTTTTCTTCATAACCTATTTTGTTTCAGTTCATCAATTTTCTTAAAATCAAAATATATACAGGGTGTATCTGGCTGAGCTTACATTAGATGTTTCTAGAGAACCAAATATCCAGATTGGTGCTTTTTCGCGCATCAATGTTTCACAATGTGATCCCTCAATTAGATATATTTACAATATGGCGGCACATCGGGGAGTATCGGAAGTTGACAGCAACTTTAGGTAATATCGTAATTCATAAAACTTTACAATTTAAATATATAAGAAAAAATAGGTATCTCACCCAAGAACAGTTAACCTAATAGGACTGCTCATTCAGCCAAAAGTGTCCGCCAGGTGCATGCGAAAACTACTCGCTTTGTGACGTCATTGTAGTTCTTGTCATGGGTATTAGTCCTTATCCGGCAACCAATAATACACACACGTGCATTATTGGTTGCCGGATGCAAAACGTTCATTATTTAGTTTATTTATTTAAACACTTTATATGTATGCAGTATAGAAAATTAACTGTATAAATCGTATTAAATACTCGGATAATGCATTTTTAAGAACAGCAGTTCCCAGCATCACCTTTTGCAAGCATTATTTTTAGGGTACTTCCATATTTTGCTTTAAATAATTAATAAACAATATCGTAGGCACTTATAAGTACTTTGTCACAATCCACAATACAAAATGAACGTATTTATACACTCTATAGCTCTAAAAACTTTAAAGACACCTTTTTCACTTTTAAAATTGACAAAATAACTCAATATTTCTCAGCTGTTATTTTTATAAGTTTACCATAGGCAACTAATAATACACACTATCATGACAAGGACTACAGTGACGTCACAACTGTCAGCTGAAGCGCGGGAAGAGGCGAACGTACGTCTTATGAGGATGAGCAATCCTATTAGTTTACCGTTCTTGTATCTCACCGACTAACATTGAGCGACAAAAAACAGGATCTAGAAATTTTAGATCTCTGGAAACTTATGCAAACTCAGCCAGGAACCCCCTGTATATTGGAACCTTAATAAAAATCTCAACAAACTTGATGCAGTAATATACAGTTAGTTTAAAAAATATACTAATTATTTTGATAATAAAATTGGAGATTGTAGTAATATACATACAAACACTTGTCAATACTTAAAGTGTACTTATTGGTAGTATCGGTACAGCCTTTGTAGGCATATTTATTATATTCTCGTCTTAAAAATTCACATGTGAAACCTATTTGAAATTCATTCCATGTTTCTTTGTTCCTCCAGTTCAATTGAATAACTTTAAGAGTAATAGTCTTTTAAAAAAATACAATAATTTCAAATTACAACTAAACGTATTCAAAGTACTTATAAGAAATAGTCCGCTTGCGGCTTTTTTGATGGAATGCCCCTCGCTTCTTGTGGGGCTGCTTCGAATATAGTAAAATCTCTGTGCAAATGTTCGTTTAGTTCTAGTATTGCGGCTACATTCCCACATCTATAAGAGAAATGTTAAAACATTTAAAAATTAGAGAAAAATAGTTAATAATATCACAGATTATACAAATATTAAACAGATATGAAAATTAAAGAAGTGTCTTAAATAAGTGAAAATATTTTCAGGGCTGGTAGATATCGAGAAAAGAAACATATTTTCTCTTTACCGTTTTTCAAGTAAGTCGAAAATAACTAAGCTGCCTGCAACCAAACCAAAAAAACTGATTATTTTTAAAGAATTGTGAGAGCCACCGTTTGTTTTTATTCGCATCCTGTTTAATAACCATAGTAATATAGTCTATAAAATGAATAACTTTGAATTTTGACCGGTATTTTTTCCCAACATGGCAAATATAGAATCCCTCTATCAAAAAAGTTACTGATATTCTTTGAATTGAGTGCCTGAACGAATCAGATAGGTAACTCTTTACTTTCGTGAAATAGAAAAGGAAAATAATAAAACAAGTGACAGTTCTCTTCTTGCAAAAATCAACACGAAATGTCATAATTGACAAAAGTAAAATGTCATCAGCTTTTGACATTTCTAAATATTAGACTAATGCCGTCTCTAATAGAACAGCCACGGAGCGAAATTTATGCTGCATTTGTATGTTTCATAGTTTATTTGCCAAAGTATTTATTACTATAAATAGGTATATATTATATTGTATTTATTAACTGTATATTATATATATTTCAGTAAACTATATCATTTTTAAAATACAAACCAAAAATACGAGGAATAATTATGTTTTCCATGTATTCTACAACATATTTATTAATCCGTAGTATCTAACTAGCGTGACGTCATAAATCTCGTCCCGAGGCTGTTGTATTAGAGACGGCATTGAGTCAGCATGGCCGCAAGTTGCTAACCTAATAAAATTAACACTAGAAAAGCTCGCGGGAACTGTCAAATTCAAAGTTATTCGTTTTACAGACTATATCAGAGATTAAGAAATTATACCGTGGGAAAATTTGCGGTAACCAGACAGTTCTAAAAAGTTTTATAAAATATACTCTAAAATTTAAAAGAAAATGCACGATTTTTAATGTTTTTTTTTGTGAAAAAAACCTCATAGACGTGTTCCTGTGGTCGAAATAGGTATACCACTCCTGAAAATATTTGCAGTTATTTAAAACTCACCCTGTATATACAAGGTGGCCCAGAAATAAGTGCAAGTATTTTAATGGTAGTATAGTTCAACCCCAGAAACACGCCTATGAGGTTTTTTTCGCGAAAACTTTTTTTAGAAAATTCAGATTTTTTTGAAAAATTTTTTGGAATTTTTATTTAGTTTTTTTTACAAGAAAGAAAATCCAGAAAAAATTCAGTGGTTCTCAAAATTTTAGGAAAAATATTTTTTTTTGGAAATTTTCAAAGTAAAATAACTCCATTATTTTGGACTTATTTGAAAAATGGTAAGAAGAAAATATGCTTCTTTTGTCGAGATCTGCCACCCCTTAAAATATCAGCACTTATCTCTGGGACACCCTGTATAATATATTTATTTTGGAGTATTTCTAGTAATATGTGTATATTTATTTACTTTTTGACAAGCTCTTTATTTATTTGTTTTTCATAAGCTATAATACTAATACATTATTTTGACATTACTAAACTTACTATATTATACCGTGCTGGCAACTCTTGGGTCAGTATTTACACTGTGTGGAAGTTTGGTGGAAGTAAATCGCATAGGGATCTTATTAAGTCGGAGTAAGAGAAATGCGACGGTGTGCTGCTGCTGCGTTGCCACATTTCTCCGGTACGCCTTTCCCTATCAAGTAAACTAACATTACGATCGCAAACCGCTTATTTTTAAAAACTTTTTCTTTGAAAAGATCACTAGATAAAATCATTAGATATGTTTCTGAGCATCTGAAATGGAATTCTAAGGAAATCTTTAGGGTGTCCATATTTTTTATAACGAGAAAACGTCAGTAATCGCGATAATTTAAAAATTCTACTTTTTAACTCATAACACGCGGTAACTCAAAAACTACTTTAGATATTGACACTTTTTTTATTTTGAAGTTTGGATCTTTTAAAAGATGTTTAAATGAGAAAAAATCGATAGGCTTGTTTTTTGTCATTCAAAAATTTAAAAAAAACGTCCATTTACTTTTACTGCATAGCAATTTTCAGCAATTGTGTAACTTTATTATTTGTAAAGATTTTCACATACTGTCTGCGAAGAAAATATAGTACAAATATCAAGAAAGTTTTTGAGAAAAACTACAATCAATTATTTCTAATTGGATTTCGAGATATCGATTTTTGAATTCAGACTTCTAATAGCGCAACCACTGTCGAAACCAACTCAATTCCACTTATTTTTACCAAAAAATGCAAGCGTTTCTAACTCACATTTAAAAATTTACAAGCTATAGGGAAAATTACAACGACTCGTTAATAAATAAACAAATAAAGTATTACGAGACATAATTAAATTGTAAAGCTGAACGCATGATATACGCGCTTCTCTAGAATTTTAAGTACTGATTATGGTACTGATTGGGTCGACCGCCACGAATCTGCTGTGACCCTTCCACGTCTCTTAGCAATGTGCACAGATTCTCTGTTTATTTCATACGTTTGGCAACGTTTTTACTGTTCTCTCTTTGTTCAGTACATTATAAACGCATTGTACTCTTCTTAAACACGGAAATCTCAACCCAAGACTAACGTTTGCCAGCTCTTAGTATACTTATTTATTAGTAACTTTATTTTATGTTATAAAATATTAACTCTGTAAAATACAAATTAGCCACTTTATAACATTATCCTTCCAATTATCTTAACCTGATACTGCCTATCTACTAATTCGAGTAAATCGAATCAAAGAAGTCAGGTCCTGTTGAAAATTTTACAAGTTATAGGCTTGGTGCATTCTCCGCCGGTGCTGCCTCCATCGGAGAATATCGTAAATAACTGATATATAGTAGAGTGGAGGGACATTCGCTCCGATTTCGAGACGCTCGCTTTGAAAGCCAGACGACCCATGTGCGAATGCTCTTTAGTTTAATATCTGTATAATCTGCCCATACTACTCTTAAATATATCCACCCACCTGTAACAATAATTAGGTGCTGACCAAACTGTCAATACAGTTTGATTAAAGTGCCATTTGTATCCCTCCATTACAAGTTGGTGGGCTCTACAAATCATATCGATGTCGTTGGAAGTATTAAACTGGGCTACAACGTCCGATCCGAAAAGGTAACCAGCTCCTCTTGGAGAAACTCCCCACCCTTGTGCGTCTAATAATTAATAATTTAGATAATATTATAATAATTTGAATCGAATTAAATTAAATAAAATTTGTTCCATTGTTACTCACCTTCAGGATCACTCCATAACAAATCGCACATAGGACCGTCATGGGGTACCTCTTGTTTCCGATCTATCACTCTGATTTGGTCTAAAGTTTGTATTGATGGCGACAATCCACCGTGAACACAGAATATTTTACCTGAAAAAATCAGATGTCATGATACAAAGCTCGAACTCACTGAGCCGTCGCACAGTGCTTCGTCCCATGGACAAAAATCAAAAAATAAGTTAAAATTTACTAATATCTGAATGTATAATTTTATACTTATAGCAATGTTCAACCATCCTGTATATTATTTTTCATAAACAGCGTTTTTGTTAGCAAATATTTTCACTAAAAATAAATTTTGCGATCATTATCTCATCAGTGAAAAGAATAACATTCATAGTAGTTCTGTATATTAAATAAAGCATTTAAAATATTAATGGTAATTACATAAGGTAAGTAGTACAGTTTTCACATGTTGTAGAGGAACAAAAAAAAAGATTCTACAGTTTAAATATGATTTTTTTTATTTTTTAACATCGAAACTCGAAGGTATAACAACATGTATCATACCAACCATAAATAGAGTACAGTATGTCTGCTGGATCTGTGTCTATGAAAGGAATGCGGACAAAAAACATTTAAATAAACATCAATATATTTTATACGTCGACTTGACGAGTACGTCACCGCAAATCGCTCCGCCCACTCATTTTATTGGCTGGGACGCGTCGTCTAATTTTTTACAAAAAACATAGAGAGAATATCGTTTCCCCTCTCACGGATACCCCATAGCTACAGAACGGACAGGCATACTGTATGCCATATAAAAATGTTTTGAATTTTTACTAGAATCGACCCTTGATAAAAAAAGGGACTAGATTTAAGTTTCCCTTTGATCCAATCTGCATACTATTTCTTTGGATTTTCTGCACGTGTACAAAAACTACACTAAAACACTATATCTTATAGATAATAAAATATTTTGCGTTGAATTTGAGGGATTTCATCTGAAAAACTATTAATTTGGAAGAAAACCGGCAACAAGCGGCAGAAAATAATAATATTTTAGGGTAATCTACTGGTCGCAACGACCAGCCAACGGCCAGGTCGTTAGTGCGCGTTGTATCATTTGATTTAATGGTTTTAAAGGTAGCATCGACCTGGCCGTCGGTGAGTTCGAGCTCATATAAGCAAAATCACTATGAATTATTTTAATCGAGAAATAATAACATGTATTTAATTTATTTTTCACAGTAAAGTGCTAGATCATCTACAAGTAGTATATGTATAGCCAAGTCTTTAGGCCACTGACAATGATATGGCCAACTACCGCGGATTGGAATCCGCGTAAACAAAGTAGGCTCGGTCCAGATTAATTTATAAAACTTTACTAACTAAAAACGTACTTACCATCAATGATGGCCGACAAAGATAAATAATCAAAGATTTCAGTACAGTATCTCCATACAGTTATTGAACCATATTTTCGAAGACATTCATCATAGAAGCCATAAACTTGCGTAATTTGGCGGGACTCGTGATTCCCCCTGATTAGAGTGATACGGTCTGGATATCTAACCTTAAACATTCACAATAGACTATAAACTTAAAATAAATTCATATAATATGTATAAAGAATATTTTCCTAAATAAGAACACACATATCAGTTACATCTTGTTCAAAAATGTTTAACATAACATAATAAAACATATTTTTATAAAATCTGTCAAAGCACCAAAAATCCGCTATAAGTTGGTATTCATATCGATTTGCGCAAGCTCAGAATGCTCGCATTAAGAGAAAAGTAGGTATATATAGTCTGTCCAACGACAAGATCCTTGACAGTGATAGATGTGTCTGTCATTTTATTTTCAAATTAGCTTATTTTATTTACAAAGAATTAAGTTGGTACAACTGGAACGCATAGTAGAAAATTAATATATTTAAAATTTGAGTGACAAGTGATTACTTCAAAATATTGTGAAAGAAACTGTTTAAAATTGAGAAAATCTAATCGAGTTATTTTATTAAAAACAATTACAGTATGTGTTAATACAAAACAAGCAAGGGTTTATTTTAAAAAAACACCACATACCAAAAAAGATATAAAGGAGAAAAGATTTCCGGCTTTCAAGCTCAAGCAGCTTCCTGCATTTATTGTTACATTTATCGGTAATTATTAGTAGTGGGAACTATCGAATGAATACTATCAAAACATTCGATAGTTGCAATTCATTCGAATAATTCGATAGCTAGTAAGAAAGCATTCGTCGAAAACTATTCGAATAAAAATTATCGAATAGATGCGTCATCTGCCTTGAAATATTGTATTCTAGTAATTCGGCAGCAAAAACCATTCATTTATAAAATTCATTCATTTATCAAATTCATTCATTCGTCAGGATCGATTTTAATAAAATATAAACTGGATTTTAGTTGTCGTCCGGCGACGTAGGTTTCTTTCCGAGAAACCCGACAGCGGGCGGTGGCAATGCTATGAAAGAAGCCGGCATCTTTGATTTTTTTGGGGAGTCAAATAAAGATAACATTTTTTTTATTGAGGTGCTAGTATTTACACAAAAAATACATTATGAAGGACGCTGTTGCCATATATTCGTATTAGTTGGTATTAGCAAAGAATATTATTCTTTAGCATTAGTTAGTTAGGGATAGTATGTCTATATGTTTTGCATTTTTTTATTAATATTCTGTTGTTACACTGCAATAATACTTTTTATTTTGGATGTAGGAAAATGATTTTTAATGTTTTTAAGCAAAGACTAGTAAAATACTAATAATTACAAAACTAATTTGTTATATTATAAACAAATTTTAAAATCATGAAATATAAATTTATTAATTTTCTAAGCATTTATTAATTTCTAAGCATGCAGTGTAATGGAAGGAAAATATAAATAAAAAATTAGAAATCAAAATTATTTATATTACTTTTTATTACTTTATATTACTATTTAAAAATAATATTTACTTTTACCGGCATTTACTTTAAAAATAAATGAAATATTTCTTCGCAAAAAACTACATGTAAGAGAATTAGCATAAACAAAATACAAACATTGTTAACTTTTTTTTTAAATTGGCACGTGTAAAACTTTCAATTTAATTTTCTCACCCCAAAATTTGAGTTTGATAACCATTTACTTAACCACATTACTTAAATATGATTATTAAGTTCAACTAATTCATATTATTAAAACATCTAAAATACAAATATGCATTTTTAAAATTAATTGTAAGTTCATCTCATCTCTCTTAAAAATTGCTACTTCTCAAAATCTCCCATTAAAAAAATGCAATCTAACCTAACCATAATACACCATATAAAATTAAATAATTGAAAGATCGGGCTACGGAAAATCACACAAATTTTCGGAAAAATTTTGACCACTTCGCACACAATCGTCAATTAAAAAAAACTACTATTTTACTATTTTAAATATTTTAATAAACGCAAAAATAGCACAGTATTTACAAGGCGAAGTTATAAAAATTTGGAAGAACTAATAATGCACTGACGCATACAAAAATCAAAGGAATACTAAATTTCATTTATCAAAAGCATTCGCTAGTCGTGGCGCAACGATAACCATTTAGTCGCACGGCGAGGTTGTCACATATGCGTTAGTATACAAATGAATGAATGATTTTATTCGAATAAAACCATTCGATAGTTGAAATCATTCATTCAGTAACCATTCGATAGTCTAATTCATTCGATAGTTCCCATCGCTAGTAATTATGCAGTATAGGTGTTTTTCGTATTTTTAGAGATTTCTTAAAAATTATTTTTTTACGTGATTCTAGAGACCAAATACAACACTAATCCGGGTGCGCACGTTGAAAATTAGATAAAAAAAATTGATACATACGGGACAGGGGAGAAAAAAGGGGTGTTTGGGTGAGGTACTGCAGAAGGCCGCCGGGAGACACTGAAAAGAGGATTCCACGTCACTAAGGACACTAAATCACTATAAACATTTGCTAAAAAATAGTTAAAATATGGCATATTTGAAAGTAATAAATTCAAAACAACATTTCGTCCGCCATCAATAAATTGACATTTGACTGTGACATTTGGTGACATTTGATACTTTATAGTGTTGGGAAAATTCGAATTAAATAATACGACTAATTCGATAGTAAATTAAAACTAACTAATTCGAATTATCTTTTTCGATATATCGAGATAAAAATTAGTAGTATTTTATATTATATCTGTGGTAACCGAATTACAAATGAACATAAAACATAACCTCTTATGGACGAATACGAATATTAGTAATTAGTATAGTATAGTTCTTCTCTCTCCCGCCCGCAGAGGAGCATTGCACCATTTTGTGTAATGCTCCTCTGCGGGCGGGAGAGAGAAGAGTCTAGACCTTTGTTTGTGTTGTCCAGATACTAACAGTCACGATTTAACCAATGCAAAACAAGCACACACTTCAGATATCCTTACTTAAAATGTAATTAGATTAATTTCAGGAACTAAAATCACTGATTGCAGCATGACGAAAAGTCAGACGGCCTGCAATCAAAACTAATGCGCTGGCAAATTGCACCTTCATAGGAAGCAGAGCCATAGAGCTGCCACAGTGAGGGAGGCAGCTCATCATTACCATACCATACCATAGTATAGTACTATTAGTAGTATTCTTTCGTTCTGAACAAACTGAAAATTTTCACTTAAACTGATTTATAAAGGAAATCGACAAAGAAAGGAACGATCCGATATAGAAAAATCCAGAAATCATTGTTATTTCCTATACCACGTAGGAATAACTCAGTTTAAGTGAAAATTTTCATTTCGTTCAGAACGAAAGAATACTATTATTATTTGGTTCATTTCCATCTCACCCAAATTTCACCGAACACCTGCCGAACACTAAAATTAATTTTCTTCTTTTATCTAAATAATTATTGATTGCAACTGATAAAATAAAAAGAAATACGAACCGCACGTAAACAAGGACATACTTATATCGTTTTAGAAGAAGCTTTTATTTTAGATATGAGCTTTTCAGATGTAGGGGAAGTAAATCTGAACCGTTCGGTAAATAAAATCGGAGCAATCGGACGGTGATCTTTTTGCTCGGAGAATTTTGACGGAGCAAACAGATTAATTTGAATTAGTGAGGTTAAATTTTTAGTTGTTGTCAAGTTTTAAATTGTTTATTTTGTTGCTTAATGCAAAACGACGTACAAAACTCAAAAAATAATTACTGGTCTTTTTGTCTTTGAACGTTGAAAGATTTCAATTGGGAATTGGGATTTCAAACTTGTCACTTTTCCCTTAGCGATCTGAACATTCCAAACCGTTCGGTAATTTCAGATTACTCCATCCAATCTGTGATCACGTGACAAAAAATCCGTCGACATCTGGATGTGATTACCGAACTTAGCTTTTGACACCGTCTCACAACTGAAAACCAATGTTGCCAAACGTTGATATATCCCGTAGAATATAAAGAAGGGTGCATAGTATAAAAAAAAATATTATAATGCATTGGTTTCACTCTTTTTGGTTGGATTGGTTTCGTTATTTGGCGGGTTGGTTAGACTGAGAGTTGTATTAGCCACAAATAAAGTTTGTATACTATCTCGTATATGACACCAAAAAAAAAATACTTGTTTAAAATTAAGATTAAAGTTAAGTAAACAACTTTTAAGATATAGGATTCAGTAAGTGTTATTATTAATAAAATATTTTGTTTTATTTATGTTGTGTTTTATTTATTCCTTTGCAATATTATTGTTGTTATTTGTACATTAGTTATATTGATAAATGTAATAATAAATGTAGGAAGTTGCTTGAGCTTGTAAGTAAGATATATTTTTTATATTTTTTTATTGGTATGTGGTGTTTTGTTTAAAATACACCCTTGCTTGTTTTGTATTAACACATATCGTATTTTTTTTATATTACATTTGCAAGGCAGGATAAATGCACTGTGGTGAGCAGAGATGTGACTTATTTCAGATACAAGTATTTGAAATACAGATATAAGATACAAAATATGTATTTTCATCTTATATTTGCAATACTTAATTTCATTTTGTATCTTGTATTTAGATACATTTTTTTAGTATCTTAGTATTTAATAAATACTTAGTTTGCTAAAATATTTTCTTTATAATCTAAAAATCTAAGAATAATCGCGACTACAAAGAAAAGAGAATTTTCATTTTACCTTTAGAGCTAATAAAAGTAAAAACGTTTCTACACTATAAAAACCTCGATCGACAAAATCTCCCATAAATAAGTAGTTTGTTTCTGGAACATCACCTCCAACTTTAAAAAGTTCTTTCAAATCGTAAAACTGGCCATGTATATCTCCACAAACCTAAAAGAAAACAAAATCTTACTAAATGATCATTTTATTGGATGGATTAAAGTTATAAAAATTATTAAGAAAATTGTCCTTAGGTGGAAAATTAATGTTACCTAGTTTCCCACAACTTTTTCCCCAGTCATATGGAAGAATTATTCATAAAAATATGAAAAATTCTTCCATATTACAAGGTGACATCATTCCTGTACATTTACTCAACTTAAGATACTAGATTTTCTCTAAAAATAAGGCCCGCTAGAGTAGAAAGTTAAACAAGTTGTTATAATACATTCATTTAAATTTGATCAGAACCATATAGGGACAAGATCTAAACAAAACAATACTATAAGTAGGCTATGAAAACTACATTTTGACAATTAGTATTGTGCAAAAAAGTCTGAAGCATGTATAAATATGAATTTCATGATGCCATCTCAATAAATAAAAAAGTTATTTACCGTTATTCATACTTTGCATCATTTTAGTCTAATTTTTTAAAACTAAATTTATTTTTCTTTAAAAACTATTAATTGATTCCGTAAACTTAACTGAATACAAGATCACTAGATAAATATTTGACTCACAAAAGGATTACCATTACCAAATTTGGCCAATAAAATCATCTTTTTGCCATTTATTTCTTTAAATGTCAAATTTGACAGATACCTGATAGCAACAGCGTAAATTTTATTATAATTGAAACATTGTAGCATTCTCTGATTGTAGCTGATTGTAGTAGCTATACATTTAATAGAGTATCCCATAGATTGAAATAAAAGATATTTAATAAACAATTGTAGCATTTTCAAATCTGGAACTCTGTTATGCTACCTATAATATACAAAATGCTGATAAAATTTGGGACATGCAGATCAAGACACCTTGTCTATTTTCAGAAAAGTATTTTACTTAATATAAGTTTTAGATATTTTCTAGGATACAAAGAATAATGTTCTTACTGTTACAGGCGCATCCACTCGTTGCACATTACTTTCCTCTACTAATATTTCTCGTGCTTTGGCACATAATGCTTTGACTTCCGATTCCTTAATAATTTCACAACGTTTCAGTTGTTCTATCTGTCTATCTAAATCACTGATATCACTCATTGTAACTAGAATAAACAGAAAATGCCTTATTTCCACCTTTTAAAGCTATTTTTAATATAACAAATCACAAAATAAATAGCATTTAAAACACAATTTGTGAGGTTAAGTTTCGACTTACCTTCTTTGTTAATGTTAACCTACTTACTATTTAAATTGGAAATATTTTAAAAAAGGATTATGCTAGTACTTCTTTTGTAGCATTACTTGTTACTAGGTATTTAGAAGAAATTCTAGTAAATCTTACTTTTTTCGGCAAAATAAACCCACAGCTTCCCTAATCAAGCCTAAAATACATCGATATACGCTGAGACATACTTTCCGAGATTGCTTGTCACAATATCGGAAGCGAAGTCAGCAACGTATTTCTTTTCTGTATGCTGAGAAATGGGAATTTCACCAATCCAGAGACCAATCTACGTTTTCTCCGGCCAATCAAGTACGTGTCTTTATGCATGTTTAAAAATCGATTGAAAATTGTTTAATTTGTTTGACGTTTAATAGGTAAAAATTTAACTTTACGGATTTTCTGATGAATCAGAGAGAGTAGTTGACGTGTCTTTTAACAAGCTTCGTACCACTCCGTACATAAATAATATTTTTGATTATCTCTAAAATATAAACAATTTAAATTCATTAATTGAACACTCATGCGCATAGAGTTGTGACGTGATTATTTACAAGGTTTGTTGTGGTTTGATTTTGACATTCCGGTGTGCGATATTCGAATTCGGGTGTAAACAATTTTCGCCTAGATTGTTTTTGTGAAAAACTGTTTAGTTTTCCGACAATGGGTAATATTCATACAGTAGGACCTAATGAAGCTTTAATTGTCTCAGGTAAGAGGAGACTTAAACATATTATAAGTACTTATAATTTGAACATTTATAAATATTGTTAGGTATTGTAAACCTAAATTGTTTTAGAATATACTGCTATATTGAATGAAGTATGTTTAAATAGTACCTAGGTATCATCTAGGTATATAATAAAATAGTTATTAATTATCATTATCATCTAAAAATAGCCAAAGGTTAATTAAAATGTAAATTAAAAAAGTACAGTTTATTTTAATTATCTCTAAGATTGTAAGTACAGCACAATAATTTTATTTATCTTAAAGATAAATAAAATATGTTTATTATTATTGTTTATGATTAACGCAATCTTAGGGGCTTATGGTTATGTTTACCTATTTTGTTCAAAGAAAAAATCTTTGAATGTAATCAGATAGGTCCATTCTACAGGATAATATCTAGGCAGGGTAGGTATAGGCAATGGGATAAGGTTGAATCTGTGAAATAGGGGGTGGTTGAATGAGGGTGGCTATGTGACTCATATATAAATACCCTTGAATATAAATATAAATACAAGGATACATATAGAACTCAAAAATCTAGTAGTTCTAGTTGCATAGCTTTTCCATATTAAACCAATCGATGAATTCAAAATATATTAAATGAATGTAACTTGTCCTATAGTAGGTATCTAATTCTGAATAGGTAGGTACCTAGTGTCGATACATATTTAAATAGATACTTAGGTGGTAGATATGTACCAATTAGGTGCATATATTTGGCTTATTTTAATTGTTTTTTTAAATGTCTGCGTTACTTGAATAGATGTTTTATTTTATTTATTGGTCAAATGAAATAAAAAAAATCTGAACATAACGAATTAATAGAGTAATAACAAAAAGCATTTAATTTTAATTATACATTAATCTTGAAATTTGTCTGTTTTACATCTGGAATATGTGCATGCAAAAAACGTTTCCTAGTACAGTCAGGTTGGCCGAGCGGTCTAAGGCGCCAGATTTAAGCTCTGGTTCTCGAAAGGGAGCGTGGGTTCGAACCCCACACCTGACAGCTTTTTTTTATTTTTTTTCGTATACCTACATAATTACTAAATTGAATGTTATTGTTATTTTTATATTTAATTATTTATTACGTATATTTCTTTATTTAAATACCCTAAATTATTTTATATAATATATATATTTTTTTGTTTAAATACCTATAAATTTTGGACAAATCAAAATAATAATAATTAAACAAAACTAGTGAAAGCAGTATTTTTTACTACATCACTAGGAAACAATTTTTTTTAATTATTATTGAGGAATGGGGACCCTCCTGTAGTTAAGCCATTGAATGAAAATACGAATATCAAAGTCAGTTCCGGTGAAACAGCTGGTAACTAAAAACAATTGAATACGTCAATTAATTCTAAATTATGTCATATATTAACATACCAAATCTTGTTTTTGGATCTGGAAAAATAAAACAGTTATAAGGGTGATCCATTTTGAGAAACACCCAGTATACAATAGAAAATAGAATATCCTACTGCATCTACATTTATAAATTACTTGCCTGGTATTTTGACATTTTGAAAAAAAACTACTTTAAGATTTTATTTATATATTTATTTACGAAATTACTAAAAATAATCCTATCAACACTGGAGTATTTGGTAAAAAATCTGGCTAGTGATTTGTGGCTGTTTTTTTATATTATAAAAAAAAAGATACAAATGAACAACTTTATGGCAGGATCTTGGTAAATTCATTTGTGGTTTGCACTTTACACAAAACTTTCTTAATACAAGTTCACAAACAGTCTGTTTCGTTATTTATTATTATCAGATTAAAGGTATATTTACACATGTCAGTCACGACTCAAATCCGTTGCCGTACTACTGAAAACAGTCAGTGACACATCTAACGGGACAAACATATAGTGGGGCATCCTACGCGCACGTTTTAAGCACTGTTTTAAAACGGCGAGTAAGTGCGCGAGTAGTTTAAGGAAAATATAGTCGACGTTGAAATTGAAGGCAACGATATATTTTCTTACCTGAACTTAGACCTTTGAATATTCTGTTACGCAGATGATGCTATCCTGATTGCTGAAAATGAAGACGACCTACAGCGCCTCCTCTGTAAATTTAACTTAGCGGCAGAGAGACAGAGCCTTAATGTGCAAATTTCGTGCGAAAAAACACAATCTATGGTAATATCCAAAGATCCAATGCGGTGCAAGCTGGTAGACTGTAAATCCAGGCAATGACGAACAATAAAAGGGACCACATTGCATATGAGAGAGTTGGGAGTACACAAAGAGAATTGAGCATACAGGACGTTGTCAGATGGGTAAGAGCAAGGCGCTGTTGTTGCAGAGACCACGTAGAAAGGATAGGCCCAGATACATACATTGCCAAGTGCCCCAAAGTACCAAAAAACAAGTATAAAGACGTCCACTTGGTAGGTCTCCAAAACGCTGGTATGATGCTGGACAACTTTCACAAGAAGACAGTTGACAGAATTGACAGGACCTCGTCCTATTACAAGAAGAAGAACTGAGACTGTTTGACGGGACGTGACTGTGACGTAGCTGACATAAACCCGAACGAATCACTTCCACCATTCTTCTTTTATTAGATCAGCTGCTTTTTCTCCTACCATCACAGCGGGTATATTGACGTGAGCTGTGAGTGGTATTGGTATAATGCTCGTATCCGCCACTCTCAACCTGCCTACACCGTAGACTTTCAATCTGGAATCTACCACAGCCTCTGGATCGGTTGATGGTCCCATTTTGCACGTTGCTACTTGATGGTGTAGAGTAGGGGTGATGGTTCTTAAGGCGCATTCCCAGTATGGATCCGAGTCGAATAGGTATCTTTCACAACCTAAAACATTTAATATAAAAATAGCATAAAATTTAAAAAAATACAGTGTAATTGATATAGATAAATTTAGACTTTGATGTTAGTTAAATTTAATCTGTTGCTTTCACGTGTCTGTCACACTTAACATCAAAGACAATAAAGGACTCAAAAGTTATTGGAGCTGTATTACCTAGACCTGTTCGGTGTTGAGATTTGAACACCGGTTTTAGGTTAGATGTTGATGACAACCGGTGTTTCAGTCGATGTCCAAGGTATTCTAACAAAGTATCTGTCCCAGGTATTCTAACACCGGTGTCTAAGGTATTCTAACAATTTTTTAAAACAATTTGTTAAATTAAAATTATTGAATTACTAATATCGCTATTAAAAAACAGGGGTTGATGGAAGAAGGGTGAAAATTTAGGGTTGTATGTATTTTTTAATGCCAAATCATAAATAAATAAAAATAAAAAATTTTGTAAAAAAAAATTCGCTGGGCCACCCTTATCACTTACGGGTATAACAAATAGGTAACAAACTATTCTTAGACCTACTGAATATACATATAACATTTAATTAAAATCGGTTAAGCCCATAGATTTAGGAAGAACAGATGTCACATTGTGCATTTTAACCCGATCAAACAATCGGAGGTTGACTACGTACTGTAAAAACCAACTTAGATAGAGAAGGCGACATTGCCACATCTCAAATTTGCGCCTGTCTACTTAGTTTGATTTGCAGAAAAGGTCACTTTAAAACCTTCACCGGGTATCAATAAATCTGAATTTCTTAAGTAAATTAATAGTTTATTTTTAAAGAAGCATGCGTTATTAACCAATATGTTATTAACCAGAGGATATATGCGTTACTATTAAAGGACATGTTTACTGTTTAATGTGCTGAAACGTCTAGAACTATTGGCAACGTTGCTGCTAGTCTTCCAGAATGAAAATGAGCCGTCCGTCCCACCACCCCTCGCGACGACCCTTGGTCCGTTATAGCGTACTACGTTTAGCTTACGGTGTGTTTGAAGTCGGAATCAAGTCTGAAGTGAACTTTTCAGTGTTTTTCAGTAGTTTTTGTTTTTGTTTAACGTACTTTTGAGTCGGCGAATTTTCAATATGGTACGACAGTGTCAAGTGTGTGGAAAAATAAGCTCAAATTACCCGAATTTGTCTTTTCACAGGTAGGTACAAATTTCCGCCGTAATTGTACATAGGCGTCCCACAAGGGAGCCCCTTACAATTAAAATAATTTCTAATTATATTTGTTGAATTTTGATTTATATTTTCAAAAAAACACAATTTTCTCATTAAATATTGATTTTAGGTATACGAAGTTATTAATAATACAAGATTAAACTAACTAAATCGTTACTAATTACTAATTTTGAAAAGTTCTTTTATAAGATCAAAAAGATAAAACTAAAACCTGTCATTTGAGATTAAACGGATGTTTAAATAATGTTGCCTATTCTAAACAAGAAAAATTTATTTATATATATATATATATATATATATATATATATATATATATATATATATATATATATATATACTCCAGGGTTGTCGCAACTAACGTCGCATCCCCACGCCTAACCGCCACTTGTTACGATCAAGAACATCTTCCTCTTCCAAGTTACGGTCCTCCATTGCCCTTATAAGTTTTATAACATCTCTAATTAAATTTGGACGAAAAGAATATTTCTGTTTGCTGTAGGTAATTTTCTCAGGGAAAATACGTAAATAAAAATGACTTTTTAAGTCAAAAAGACAAGGACAATTTATTCCAAAAAAGGACTGTCCTTTTCAAAAAAGGACAGGTGGCAACCCTAGGTATTTCTGGAATGGAAATTTAATGGCAAATCTACAACTTTAGTTTGAAAATATGTTCCGGCCACCTGTGTTTACAAAAATTTCTAAAATGTGCTTTACCATTGCCTCCATATTCTGAAAAAAAAATTGAAAGAAAAGTCACCAACTACAAACCTAATATAGAACTGTTTCAGAAACTTGAGTCACCCTGTAAATATTCAAAAGTAACTGAAAGTTTAAATTGAAAATCGACGTTGGAGCGATTTTTGAAAACTACCTACTAACGTTTCAACATAAGTATATATGGGATATTAATTATATTATTATATTAGACCTTATAACAAAACTCA